TATAAAGACATGTAGGTATTTCTTTATATAAACAACTAAATTTTCTACAGATTTTGATATATAGAGAATTATGTATGTATACTGGCAAAGCTGTAGACACAAAGTATGTCTAGTCACAAACACAGTTTCGAATTGTTGATCCTGCCACTGTGCTGCAGCCTTTCGTGCTCCAGCACACTTTTGCCATCCACGGCCAGCTTTGCTTTTGCATTTTGCACCATAATGTCCGGTGCCGCTCCCAAGAGCAAGGCAGCCATGCCCACGGCAGCCTCCACAGCCTCCACGGAGGCAGCGGTCCCCACGGCAGCTCCAGCCAAGGCCCCTCCGGCCAAGGTCCGGTGCTTGGGCCATGGGTGGCACCCATGCCAAATCCAGCGGTTGCACCATTGGTGCTTGCAAGGCCATTGGTGCCAGCCAACCAGGTCACGGCCCTCACCATGGCCTGCGGGTGGTACGTCCCACCCACTGCTGTTGTCCAGAACCCTGGTGCACAGCATGCCACGGCGAGGTTCACCAACCAGCGGCCCAACTTCAACTATCCAGAGCCCACCCACTGGATCTGGGTGGAGTGCACCAGGTGCCAGGCGGCCATGGTGTCACTCCATCACATCCACCAGGCCAGATCCTGCATCCGCTGCGGCCACTCTTGGTTCGAGTCCATTTTTGGTGGGCTGTGGATCTATGAGCCACGGCAGGACCAGGGCCACTTCGACCAGGACGACCACGAGGACCAGGGCCAGGTGAACCAGGAGGGCCAGGATTGGTGGGCTGCAGAAGACGAGGGCCAAACGGACCACGAGAGCGACCATGATAACGAGGCCTTTCCGTCTCCAAATTGGCCAGACTGGGCAGTCATGGATTTTCTGAATGCCCTGCAGGAGCCCGAGAACCTCGACGAGCCCCAGAACCAGCAGCCCATGGAGCAGCCCACGGAGGAGCCCACGGAGGAGGCCACGGAGGAGCCCACGGACGAGCCCACGGAGTCCCAAGACCATGCAGGACCATCGCATAGCAGCATGTTCTGCTTGCCTTTGTTGTGTGACCTGGCATGCAGGACCAGCGGCCTAAAGGCACCATGCATGGTCTTCCATGGAGCGAGCGGCCAGGGCACCATGGATCTTCCATTGCATCTTCCATGCGATGACAAAAAATTCGCAAAGGATCTCAGGTTTCGATGGTTGGAGATATTATAGATAGAAATCTATTGAAGTTAAGGTATATAGGGTTTAAATATATAATATATAATGGGGTTTATAAGTATAGGGGTTTATAGGGTTTCTATAGGGTTGAGTGCTTATAGGGTTTAATAGGGTTTATATAGGGCTGTGTCTTTCTATCTCTAGACATGTAGATATTCATTTTGGGATTATTATAGTCTTTAAGTTTGTATAGGGTTTAGGGTTTGGAGGTTTTAAGTCTTTTTTAGGTATTAAGGTTTCAAGACATACAGAGACATTGTTTCAGCTGTCCGGGAACATAGGGATTCAACGTTTCAGTGTAGATCTACATGTATATATACATCCACAGGAATATATATATATATATATATATGTATCATTTTTTATACAGACAGATATATATATATATATACAGACTCAGATATATATATATATATATATATATATATTCTAGTGTATATATACTGCTACTTATACAGATTTGTTGCCAGAATGGCCAGTATACCCATTGCCAGTGTGGCCAGCATGTTCATATTGTTTTACATTTATATGTAGCCACAGCCATCATGGCCAGCTTCTTTAGATTTCTCATCCACATATTGAAAGACAGCCATCGTGGCCAGTTTTTGTTTTATATGGATATAGCCAGCATGGCCAGCAAACTCCAACACCAGTCCCAGCAACCAGTGCAGCACCATAAGCAATGTGAAACCCAGCAGCCCTATAGTGCATGCATCTCCTGTCCGAGTGCCAGTGTGAGCTGGTAGCAGACCCCAGTCGCAGGCACATGTGCATCACATAATGTTGTAATCCGAGCCCGTTCTCTCCAGCGGTTCAGTAGAGTCGCAAGCACCAAACAAGCCTCACCCAGACCATGCGAGCAGACTGAGTAGATGGAAACTTACAAGCAGTGTTCAACAAACAGTGGTTGCATTTAGGATTGCACCTACAATCCTAAGTACAAGAGTTTTGCACTTAGGATTGCAATTACAATCCTAAGTGCAATAAGCCATTGTTTGGCGTTTTCCATTTCTCCACGTGGCCTGCAGCCATGGATGATGGCAACAGGACTGTGGTGCCGACGACACCGAGTCCAGAGTACGATCCCCACAGCCCTGCGATGAGTGAAGTCTCCCATGAGACAGTGGTGCAGGAGAGGTCCACGGCCAAGCCACCGACCCAAGTCTTCGCATGGCCGACACCACCAGATTGGGTGAACCTACAGGCTGCTGCCCAACTAGCCGGTGCTGGGCCGAATGGGACCAGTGCTGGGACAGTTTGGGCCGACAGCACCACTGGTGCCTCCAACAGCACCCTTGGTGCCTCCAACAGCACCATTGCTGGCTCCGACAGCACCATTGGTGCCTCCGACAGCACCATTCCTGACTCCTCCAAGAGCAGCATGGCTGCCTTCAGTTGGACCAATGGTGCCCCCAGTGGCACCATGCCTGCCTTCAGCAGCACCACTGCTGCAACCGATGGTGCCTCCAGCGGCAGCATTTCCTCCAGCTGAATGGGTCCATGGTTGGCAGCCAGAGGCAACCACACACAGCATGGAGGTAACATTCGGAGGCAGGGGACCCAGTCAGCCACGACAACCCCCAGCAGAGGCCGCAGCAAGACCAGCACAGCAGGCAGCACCACCAACAGAACAACAAGGCCCTGAGGCCCAAGGGAAGGAACAGCAACAACCACCATCCCAAGCAGCCGGGCCAACAACACAGCAGCAGCCACGGCAGCAGCCACCCACAGCAGAGCAACAGCCACAGCAGCAGCAACCTCCCTGGCGGCGACAACAAGCACCACAGCCAGCACCACCAAAGTCAGCAGCGGAAGCGGCGAGGCCACCAAAGGAACCAGCAAAGTCAGCAACGGAAGCGGCGAGGCCACCAATGGAACCCACTCGACCAGTGGGCCCAATCAGCAAAGCCAACGTTATGAAGGGCAAAGGCAAAGGCAAAGAATCCAACATCCCGGCCGCATTCCGAAAGCAAGCATTGGGCCACACACCCATGGTCGTTCCGCCACCGAAGCAAACACCAGAGCCGGCCACCTCCTCCCACGACCCATGGGCTTTCCAAGGACCGCCGCCCAAGCTGCAGCCACGAGAACCAGACTACCCACCACCTGGATTCGGGCCAAAGCAAGTGGGAAAAGAACCACCAAAGGCCAGGCGACCCACTGCTGCTGCACCAGCCGGTGCCATGCCAGATGTGCCACACCGACACACAGGCTGGAAACACAAAGCATGTTGGCTGTTGACCAGATACAGCCAAGAAGATTGGAGAGGGGTCCAGGAGCTGTGCAGCAGCTTCCAAAAGGAGCTCCATGACCACGAACCAGTGCTGTGGCTGGACGGGAAACCAACGTGGGCCAGGAAGGTCCAATGGTTCATTGACCATTGGACCCAGGGCGACTATGCTCGCTGCCACAGACTCTACCAGTGGCACCATGGACCTGATTGTTTAGGTTTTCCAGAAACCATATAGTTCCGAATCTTTTCTAAAGCATTGCTGAGATAAATATGGATCGGAAAGCCATAAATAAGCTAAGCCCCAGATAAGCTTTCTTTGAAAGGAGTTTGAAACAATAGTCCAAGTTCGTTTTTTTCGACCGACACAACCGCTGTCCATTAAGGTTCAGCACGGAGTCCCAGATGGCCCAGTACTTGGCTGAGCATGCCATGGTGGTGGAGGAGCACGGCCATGACCCACTGCAGCCAGACCGCTTCAGGCAGCACCAGTAAAGCACCAGAGGTCCGTGCATGCACCATGTCCATGTCATGTATTCGCCAGTTTTGTGGCCAGCACACTTCGCCATTTTTTGTGGCCAGCACAGTTCGCCATTTTTGTGGCCAGCACAGTAACTATACAGAAAGAATCAAACTTATTGGTTGTTTTTGTTTTCTTTCTCTCTCTATATATGTATATATATATATATATATACACATATGTTTATATCTATCTATCTATATATATATATATATATGTGTGTGTTTCTTCTTTCTGTGTATAATAATGTAGGCTGCATACATGTATATGTGTCTATATGTACGTATGTGTGTGTATATATACACATACATACATATATTTGTTTCATTATACACACCTATATACCCAGTTACATACAATCACTGTGCTTATATATATATATATATATATATATATATAAGCAAACGTATAGATGGTGATAAAGCCACATGGCTAGCCACTTTGTTTTTCCTTTCCATATAGAGTCTTCTACATAATATATAATTACTTAGATATCTATATATATATATGTATCTGTCTGTTTACCTACATATGTACATCTTTATATATACATACATTCATTTAATTGAACTATATAACTTATATATATATATATATACACACACACATTCTTTCTGTTGGCTAGCCAAAAAAGCTGGATACTGTATATGTTTCACATGGTATCTGTACATGGGTGTGTGTGTGTGTGTGTGTGTCTTTTCTTCTTCATCTAAACTCTCACGAACTTCATGTTGTTTTGGCAGAAATCCAGACAACTTTGGCTTGCATGATGTCTCCTTCCAGAATCAACAATCGCTGTGTTCTATATTCTGTACAGTTTTCTGTTGTTGTCCATACATAAAGAGACACAGTCATATATTTTATGTGTATATACATATATAGACATGCATATCTGTCTTTACATATACATGTCTTCTGTGTGTCCTAATGTATCTATAGGATGTGCCTTTCAACGTGCCGCTATAGATTGCTTGAGATGTGCTTTCTCTGCCATCCTCGCAGCCACCTTGGCCTGCATTCCAATTTGTTTTAGGACCACACTTGTGCCGGCATGTCCCAAGTGTGGAGCATTTCTGACTTTTTGTCTGAACTTCGCCATCTGGGCCAGCTCACTAAGATGCGGCCAGGGAGCCTGGTCGTCACTACCATGGCGACCACATTCGTGGAAAGGATCCGTGCGGCCAAGAATTGGACATCGGCAGGCATCATCCAATTGATCGGTGAAGTCCAAAGCATGGAGCTGCCAGATGCCATAAAGGAGAGCATCCAGGAGGCCGTTGAGACATGCCAGACCAACGAAGCCTCCCACATCAAGCTCTCCACTTGCGGCCAGAAGATAGTCCATGTGCCAGCATACTTGACCGCGGCGGATTGGCAGGCTCTCGAATCTGCCGTATCCAAGGATGACCAGATGTCTGTCATGGCCAAAAGGCTCCGAGCAATGGGCCTTACCTCCCTGAAGGAGAACACGGTGCACCAGGTGCTCGCCACCCTGCTCTACGTCAACCACAGCCGAGGCCAACCACAGATGCAGCCGAGGGCCATACATTCCATGGTAGACGACTTCCAGGCCATCTTCCACGGCACGGCCAAGATTGAGGCTGTGCCCAAACTGGCCACTTACTCGGAGGATCCTCTCCAGAATGGCGAGGCCTGGCTGAGCCAAGCATACACGAATGGCTGCAGTCCAGCCAATAAAAAGCTTCCTCTGCATGCTTGGTACAGGAAGGTGCCCATGAGGAAGAACCATCATTTGCTGGTTGGCTATCATGTGCCGGCGGAGTCCAACAAGGCACATGGAAGCCATGACCATCTGGTCTGGCCAAAGCTGCCCAAATGCTCTCCCAATTGGCAGAACGGTGGGCTTCACCACCTGCAGAGCCAGAGATTAAACTCTTGCAGCCTCGCCAGGACCGGCTGGCTCTGCAGAACCTGCCAACACCGCTCAGAACGAGCAGAACCAAGCGGTGCAGCAGCAGCCGCTGCAGCAGCAGCAGCCGCTGCAGCAGCAGCAGCCGTTGCAGCAGCCAGTGCAGCTGCAGCAGCCCTCGCAGCAGCCACTGCAACTGCAGCAGCCCTCGCCCCAGCCACTGCAGCTGCAGCAGCCGTCGCAGCAAACAGCACTGCAGCAGACTTCTGCTACGGCCCATGATGAGGCGGGCAGCCAAGCAGCAGTGCCGCCGGATCCCATGCTCGCCACAGCCGAGCCAGACATGTGTACGGAGAAGCCCTGCAATTCCAAGCCAAAGACTTTGCAGGAGTTTGAGGACCAGCACTTCGAGGAACTCAGGAAGAGGAAGCTTGAGGCCAAAGAGAAGGCCGTGCCAAAGGCAAAAGCCAAAGCGAAGGCCAAAGCCAAGGCCAAGGCCAAGGCCAATCCCAAGGCTAAGGCCAATCCCAAGGCTAAGGCCAATCCCAAGGCTAAGGCCAATCCCAAGGCTAAGGCCAAGGCCAAGGCCACCCCCAAGGCAAAGGCGAACCAAGCGAAGCCAGTGGCCAAGAACCAGGACCACCTGCCGCCGCACAAGCGGGATGCACCGATTTTCGGGTGCCGACAAAATCCAAGCGGTTGTGGGCAGTGCCTGAGCCCAACGTACACAGGCCTGCGGCTCCCAGGCCGAGAAGCCTATCGGGCCCATATGGCCCGAAAGGCCAGGATGGCCAAGTGAGCTCCAGGGCCATGGCGGGGAGACCTCCCGTGTCACCATAATTGGCCATTTTGGCTGACCAGATCCGTTGGCTTAACCACGGGCCTTGCATTGGGGCAAAAGTTTCTCGCAAGTTGTTTGCTTTGCATGCAATGCTCGTCTCTCTCTCTCTCTCTCTCTCTCTCTCTCTCTCTCTCTCTCTCTCTCTCTCTCTCTCTCTCTCTCTCTCTCTCTCTCTCTCTCTCTCTCTCTCTGTCTCTCTCTCTCTGTCTCTCTCTCTCTCTCTCTCTCTCGCTGTCGTCTCCGTGTAGAGATACACAGACACACACACACGTATATATATATATATATAGAAATGGTGTATACAATGGTTTATGTCGCATATATAATAAAGGTTCTATTTCTCCAATTACTTTCGCTTTTCATTCAATAACTGAAAAATATATGCCTATATACATGCAATAAATATACATATTTATATGTATAAATATATATATATATATATATATATACATATGTATATATAGGCTTATATGCATATATATATATATATATACTTTAATATCTATACATATATATATATATATATATATATATTGTTTTCATGTGCGAGCATGAATTTGACGTCTGTGGACGGTCAATTTCTTCTTGTAGCTGGAATATATGTATTTCTCTTGAGGTATGATACTGCAAGAATCATATATTCCTGACAAAGGGCCTCTATATGGCATGCAGGGTTTCTTTTTGGCGACATAGCAATCGGTGAGTGCCCTTTCCATTTCTGTCCTGCCAGCTCTGAGAATGCATGACTTCTGTCCGTGAAGCTTGTTGCTCCAAACAAGAAGTACCAGCAGAGGCAATGCATGCAGGACTAGTTTGAACATGGTGCCCCGAGCTCCCCTCTGCAAAACCGTGCATATATATATATATATGCTTGTCGATGGAACGTTTCCCGTTGATTACGTGCACACCAGATGGATGCAGACAGCTCAGATACATCGAAATATCTTAAAGTATGTGTTTACATACATATATATATATAAGAAGTTCGGATCCATCATTTGTAAACCAAGTAGGCACTGTCCGAAGCCCTGGGTGACCATGGAGCCTTCCAAAAAGAAAGCCAAACTTCAACACCTTCTGACGTTCAAGGCCAGCCTGCCAGGCCATTCCCAAAGTGCTTTGGCGGGCTTCGTCAAAGCAGCCAAAGAGCAGGGCCTCCCGGAAGCCAGTTCTTCCAACGACCAGCGAAAGGCACGGCAACAGCTTCTTGAAAGCTGTGATGGCGGCCCCCTGGGACCATTGATCCAGCAGGCAGAACTGCCCATGAGCGACGGTGCCACAGTGACCATCCATTTTGCCAACCTTCTGGTCTTTATCACCAGTCTTTTCGCCATGGGGGGCAGTTTCCATGATCTGCTCCAAAGGAAGCATGCGGCCAAACCCTCGTCGCTGGACCAGCCCTGGTCCTTGATCTTGTATTGCGACGAGGTGATCCCTGGCAATGTTCTTGGTCGTGCTGAACGCAAGCTATGGGCCATTTACGCCACATTCCTCCAGCTAGGCCAAGAAGCCATGGGCCACGAAGACATGTGGCTGACCATCAGCCTAGAAAGATCCACCTTCGTGGCCCAATTGCCAGGTGGCATCGGCCAGGTGTTCGCCAAGATTCTGGAAGCCATCTTTTGCTGCCCCATGGCTGAACCATGTGGAGGCCTGCTCTTGAAAAGTCCACATGGGCCCATGGGCAACATCCGCCTCCATTTCAATTGGGGTATATGCCTCGCTGATGGGGCTGCCCAGAAGCAGATCTGGTCTTCCAAAGGCGACGCTGGTACCCGATTTTGCATGTTATGCGCAAACATCCACTCAGCAGCCACCATGGCTGCAGGCCAGGATGTCATTGACCATGCGACGACCAAATACCACCAACTGCGCTTGACAACCGACACTGAGGTCATCCAGTCCTACCATCGTTTGGACCAACGGCAGCAAACATGCACCAAGGCGGATTTCCAGCACTGGCAGCAGGCCGCAGGGTGGACGTGGAATGCCCATGCCCTCCTCTTGAACCAGCCGCTGTTGTCCAGAGGCCACATTCGACCAGTGAGCCAGTTTTGCCACGATTGGATGCATGGGATCTTGCAAGGCACTGGCCCTGTCGTCCTCTTCCAGACAATGGAGACCATTGGCGTGGCAATGGGTTTCAATGCTTGGGATTCCATGGAAAAGTACATCCAGCTCTGGTCCTGTCCAGGGGCTTCCAAAGCAGGGCACCTGAAAGCTTTGTTTTCCTCCAGGATGGTGAGCAAACACCAGGCAAGTTATAAGTTTTCCTGCCAGGCCAGCGACCTCTTGAGTATATTCCCCATTGTGCGGCATTATCTCCACACCATGGTTATGCCGGTGGGCGGCTGCCCCATTAAGGCCTGCGAGGCATTCTTGGCCCATGCAGACCTGCTCGACCAGGTGCACCAAGGAACCATGTATGGGGCCACTACCAGGGCAAGCCTACTACCAGCTGCTGAGTTGGCCATCCAGAGTTTCGTGGAAGCCAACTTCGGAGTTTCCTTAATAAAGAAGTGGCACTGGCTTCTGCACCTGCCTGATTTCTTGGAGAGGTATGGGATGTTGCCAAGCACTTTCACCACTGAGCGCAAGCACAAAACCATTGCCAAGTATGCCACCAACTTGCAGAAGACCACGGCTTTCGAAAGCCATTTGATGCAGCAGGTCGTGGCCATGGAGATCACCACTTTGAAGGAGCCAGGTCTGCACCCGGACACCTGCCAGCTGCTGAAGCCAAAGAAAGCTACCAAGCAGCAAGTCCAAGTCCTCCGCGACTTCGTGGATGGCCCATTGAACGAAGCCATGGTTGCTTCGAGTGCGAAGCTTGCCAAAGGTGGCACCATTCATGCCCACGATGTGGTTGTCTTCCAGCAGCAAGACGGACGTTGGGAAGTCGGCCAAGTTTGGTTCCACTTGGAAGTGGGTGCTCAACAGGTCACACTTCTCCAGCGGTGGACTCCCACGGTGAACAAAGCATCCCACTCTGCGAAATGCACCATCACGAACGAGCAAGGCTTCGTTCCCATCGACTCCATCCAGTACCCACTGCTGTATAGTAAAGCCTCAGACCAAGAGGCCACGGTGCTCATCCCGTACCAGCTCAACTGCAGGCTGTAAAACATCCATGCTTCACCTATTGAGTGCAGGTTTGGGTTTCGCCCTGATCATCGTGCCTACCTGGAGATTTGGACTTCCAAAGGGGGGTTTAGGGTTCGTTTTCATGCATGGTTTGTATAAGCTTTCAGCTGATGCCTTTCTCATTCTTTTTTTAAAAGGCCCTCTTGCTCACAAGATATCCATGACACCGCCTATATATGGCCAGCTACATATGACATATAACCCATGTGAAAGCCTATATGGCCAGCCGATTTCCACATTGCTCCCATACTTCATGGCTGTTCCATCCCATATATTTAGTGTAAGTATTTGCCACGAAAGCCACACCCAAAAACAGAGTTATAACTAGTTAGCTAACTCCACCTAACTAGTTATAAAAAATACTTAACTCATGTTAACCAAGATAACTAGTTATAACACAGCGAGGATTCCAAGTAGGTTGCGGGCCACGGGATTCTGTAAGGAATCACGACGATGTCCGATTAATGTTGGTTTAGGGTTACGGTTACGCAGTGTCAGCACCGCTAAGTTTTACTTTTTTTGTGGGATAAGGGCAACAGGCTTAGTGTAAGTATGCGGTTTGGGGGGTCAGGGTTTCGGTTTGGTGCCAGGTGTACAAATCATAGCGCCAGCGCCCAGCTCATTGCTACTTTTAACAACCCATTGAAAACCTCATAGAACCCATGACCCAGTAGCCTACCGCACAAGTAGCTAAGCCCACCGAAACCCTATCAAGCGCTGCGAAACCCTACAAAGGCAACTGGGCTCTTCTCTGGTTAAGCCGTTCAAAGCAGAAAGGTTCGACTCAAGCCGTCCATAAGCCTCCAAAGGCCAAAGGCTAAATTGTAAACCTCCGGCACAAAGAGCTCACATCAACTATTTCTTTAAACACCGAAGCCTGAGTTAGAGCATAATGTATTTTTTGAACTTGATTCAGAAACCCTGCGTCTTTCTTGCGTTTCTGGGCCACCTAAACCCTAAACCGCTCTTGCAGGTATTTCGCACAGCTGGAACCGGTTTTGCTCCGGGACGACAGCAGGGTGCCCAGTGACCAAACAGGAAGACTGTTGAGCTGAAGCCGCGTCCTGGGTTTGGAGTGCTGCGTAGTGAACCCTAAATTCTAACCCTAAACCCTAAATTAGACTTTAAGAGACGATAATGCTCATAAAGAGATCTGTGTGGTATGAACCTCCTGGGTTTGGAGTACCATACTTGAGTACTTTTTTGGATACCTGTAGTCCTTAAAGGAACCATTATGAAATAGAAGTCTATACTTCTTCTCCCTGGTTACTTCAAAGTCCAGGATGTTCCTCAGGGACCACTCTCGCTTTGCTTTAGAACACTGTGGGTTTTTACAGTGTGCAATTCCTAGTCCTTACGGTTTTCTTCTATAACATCCGAAAATCATGCTGCAATCTTTGGTTGAAGGAGCTTCTATAAGGCTCTTCACCGATCTCCGGTGGTGCTGTACCCTAACCTTATTCCGAAACCAGAAATCCCGAAGCCTCAACGCCAAAGGCAGTTCAAACTACATCCTTAACTCTGAGAGCACCCAAGGCCCCAGACCTGTTTGGGGTTTAATATAGGGGCCTTCAGATGTTACAATAGGGCTTTGGGGGTATATTACACTATAATTATCACAAGGAACAGGTACGTAATAAGGCCCCTCTATTCGCATATTCTTGAACAGGACTCCCCAAAACGACCTTGATAGCAAGAAAGTTCCACCACTGAGAGGCCCTGAAAACCCTGACTCCACTGTCAAAAAAACCCTGGGGGAGGCTTCGGGTTTAGGGTTTAGGGGGTTCGTTTTTTAGGGCTTAGGGTTTAGGGTTTAAGGGTGTAGAGTTTAGGGTTTAAGGGTTTAGAATTTAGGGTTTTAGGGTTTAGGTTTTAGGGTTTTTACTAAAACGCTAATTTAGGGTTTAGGGCTTTAGGCTTTTTTTGGATCTAGGGTTTAGGGTTTAGGGAATCAAGGAAAAACGACCCCTAAGAATCTAAGAAAACTTTCAGATACTACACACCCTGAGCCCGAAACTCACAAGCTCTAGCCTGTAAAACCCTCGGACATTTGGAAAGCCCACAGACCCCGAAAGCGAGTCCGTACGAAGACCGTTGTTCCCAATATAGATCTTGATTGGAATCATACGAATATACGCCAAAGCCCTACTCACTCACTAAGGCCCCTTGTAGCCGTCCTTTATGGGTACATCCCTAGTAGAACCGTGGATCGAACAATTTCCAGAGCCCCTTGTACCTTAACCCAACCCTAAACCTTAAACCCTGTAAACCCAAAACCCTCTAAACCCTGGACTAAACCCTGACGTTGCAGCATATGCTCTACAATCCTTGTCGTACAGGATGTAGCCAGATCCCCTAAGCCTCTGTAGAACTTTGGAGAAACCCTGGTTTTGAGGCCTCATGGCTGCGTGCGGCTGGAATGATGGAGCCCTGGCGCCGTTCTCTGCAGACCCATCGGCCCGGATCCCCGGGCCCCTTTTGAGGGCGGTTGAGGGTTGTAGAGGTTTGGGGGGTTGCGCGAGTCATGGGTTTTGGGTTTCGGGGTTTAGGCTTTCGGGGTTCAGGGTGTATAGGGCCTCCGGATTTGGAGTTACGGTTTACGGCTTTTGGGTTAAGGGTTTCAATCAATGTGTTCTTTTGATGGCTACGTAGCAACTTCATTTTCCGTGGCAAATGTGATCATGATCACCACCATCCTCGTCAACATCAACATCAGCAGAACCTGATCATCCTCGTCATCATCGCCACCGTTGCCGTGAAAATAAGTTTGTGCCAGAGCTGCTTCTGTTGCACCTTTGAATTGTCTTGATCACTGCCGTCATAATACCATCGTCATAACCTCCGACGAAAAAGCCCCACCTTCTAAATGTGCCTGGAAGAAGGATCAAGAGCAGTAAGTATCGCAATGTCACGGCCCTTAAGGAACCTCAAGGCGATGCGGGGCGGGGTCCATTAAGCACGGCTCCACACTCGAAACATAAACCCCAACTCCTCAATCTATCTAAACCCTATCAGGGCCTACCCGGGCCTACCCTTGTCTAAACCTCAAACCCATCTCAATTCTATTAGGGCCTACCCTGAACCCTAAACCCTATCAGGGCCTGCCCTAAACCTATCTAAACCCGATCAGGGCTCCAAATTACTTTGCCAAGGACTCCTATATCCCTTAATTAAGGAATATACCTTAAATTATAGTAGGATCCTTAATATGATTTAAGGGATATTCCTTAATTAAGGAACATTGGAGTCTCTGGGTTTGCCAAGGTCGTGATCCGGAGCGACTGGTTTCCGGGCGCTGGCTGGCTGATGGCCAAGCGCATGGTTCAGGAGTGCCGGCTTGGGAGTTTGAGGCTCTCGGTGCAAATAGACGGCTTACTTAGAAGTGTATATATATATATACATATGTATGTGTGTGTGTGTGTAGAGAGAGAGAGAGAGATAGATAGATACACAGAGAAATTGTGTATGTATGTATATATATATACACACATACACACACATCTTTTTCTTGCACATATGAATTTCGAGTTTTCTTGGTGGTTTTGGGGTTCAGGGCGATCGGGGTTGTATGATGTGAAGGTTTGAGGGTGCTGGGCGTTTGCCCCTGAAGCCCTAAACCCTCAACACAAGCCCCTAGTCTCATATCCTCAACCCTGACTTAGCCTTCTCAATAATGTAGAGCCAAGACCAAAGCCCATCCTTCGAAATTGCTCCTAAACCCTACCTTAACCCTGAATAACCTACCTTTTTAGGGTTCCTTATTATGATTTCTTTATATAGGTCCTTAAAAATGTAGGCTCTTCAGGGCTAAGGTAAACCCTAAAACTGAGGGTTGTTCCAAAAAGCCCCAAAATAGCGAACCCTCCTCTGGCAGGAGCTCCTATCTGTGTGGCGCGTCGGATTTGCCTTTCAGCGCCTGTTCCGTGATCCCCGTCCCAGGCGCGATTTCTGCGGTTTGCGGCTTTTGCTGTAAAGTCTATTCATCCCTCAAGAAGTAAGCAAGACAACTAGGACATCTCTGGAAGTTTATAATTTTCTCAATAAGTCTAGTACGGTTCGATTGGGGTTGTACAGAAAAAGTCGGTTCCAGAAGGCTGCAGCACTGTTCAGGGCATTCTTGGGAAGAACAGGATCTTGAAAGATTACCCCGTAGCTTGCGGCTTTGCTGTATAGCCTGGCAGGCTGGGCCGCTGAAGGACCTTGGGGTCCTTAAACCCAACCAAACCCAATAAGTGGGGTTATGATTAGGGCGACTATGGTTATAACCCCTATTAGGGGACTTATAAATATAACTACCCATGAACCTCCAAGCACTCGATCCTAAACCTGGCAGAGCTTTTGTGGGCGAAAAGAACCAGCGCATACTGTGAGCCTCGCCTTTTCAAGCACAACAGACAACCAAAACAAGCCACAAGAGCACTAAGCCACAAGTGAACGAAGAAAGACCACATACTATGTTTGTAATTACATATTCGATTATGTATCTGTATATATGTATGTATATATATATATATATATATGATGTGTATATATTCTGTGCACATACATATAAATATGTGCACGCCGCTGTTTATTCCATGTGTGTGCATTCATATTTTTGTTGCTGCCTGGCATGTCAACAAAAATCAACGGGGAAAGGGAGGGGCCCTTAATGGGGACCCCTACTCTATAATGGGCTATATAATGGGTATATAATGGCTATATGAAAGGTATATACCTAGGGGTCCTTATTAAGGGTCCCGCCTTTTGCCCTTGGAAAAAACGAAGACGAGCTCGGAGGCGAAAAGGGGTTTAGCCTATGGGGGTTTAGTAGGGATTAGGGTTCCCATAATAGCGTTCATATTAAGGAATCCCTACCCCAAGAATCTTAAACCCCCCTTTTGGCCTCCCATCAAAAACGAAGGGCAAAAGGAGGGATCCTTAAGGACCCCTAGGTATATACCCTTAATATAGCCATTATATACCCATTATATAGCCCATTATAGGGTAGGGGTCCCCATTAAGGGTCCCTCCTTTTCCCCGAACTCGGAGGCAGGGGCGGCAGTTTCTGGTCCCCGAGGTCTCCCGCGCCCGGGCCTCGGAGTTTCACTTTAAAGGGCGGGGGGCTTAGTTGGAGCCTTCAAGATGGGGCCTTAAGGGCTTGAGGGCTTTTCAAAGATCGGGGGGCTTAGTTAGGGCTTCAAAATGAGGCCTTAAGGGCTATACGGGGCTGAGTTAGGGCTTCAAGTCAAGTGGGGCCCTAAGGGCTTTCGAGTGGGGTGGCTGTTGACTGGGCTTTGGTCGGGTGTCCTTGCGTTTTTCTCATGGGTGCGAATGGTGTCTTGTTCGCGGGCTCCTTGTATAGGGGTTTATGTTATTGCTTTAAGAGGGGTTCTTGTAGGCTGTTAGTGGGCTGTTCGGGTTTTCGGGTTTGTTCATGGGTCGTTTTGCTTGGTCCAGGGTCTGGGGTTCTTGCTTTAGTTCTTTCCTGTTTCAGTGTGGTGTAGCGGCTAGTTGAACGCTGTGCGGGAAAAGTAAGGTGCCACATCATACCTATAGTCTCCATTGTAGTTCCTTTTTGGGGGTTACCTTTTAGGATCCTTAATATAAAATTGGTTAAACCAGAAAAAAGGAACTACAATGGAGACTATAGGTAGGGCTCACGAACGGTTTTATTGGTTCTTCGAGAGAGTACCGAGCCGGGGGACTGTGTGTTTTGGCTTTGGCTCTGAGGCTGGATGGTTGAGGCTTTGTCCCTGAGCCCAAGCCCAGGAAACACCGAATTTCGGGACCCTAATTACCCTAAGGCCCCATAGTAGTTCCTTTTTGGGTTTCATAAATAGAATCTTATAAGGTAATCCCCAAAAGGAACTACTATGGGGCCTTAGGTTACCCCCCATTAACCTTAAATCATATTCGGGATCCCATAATTAAGGAACATACCTTAAATCATATTAGGGATCCTACTATAATTGAAGCTCTTCATTAAACCTTGGAAATCGTAAACCCCTAAACCCATCATAAGATTCTATTTATCAGCCCCAAAAAGGAACTACTATGGGGCCTTAGGGGAAGCCTCGATTCAACCTTAGACATCGTAAACACCAAGATCGAAAGCCCGAAACTCCAATATCCCTTCATTAAGGAATATACCTTAAGTTATAGTAGGATCCCTAATATGATTTTAAAAAATTCCTTAATTAAGGGATATTGGAGTCTCTGGGAAGCTCGAAACCCTCATCTTGGGCGACGTGACCGAAGTTTTTACGGAGGGATTGGAAGGCCGAGGTCAGCGCGAAGCACGAAACCCTAAACCCCAAACCCAGAGGGTCCAAGTACTCCCTATTCTAGGACTTTCGGGCCTTTTTAGGTACCGAAAACCATAAATGAGAACTACTTGGACCCTGCAGGGCAAAACCTAAACAAAAACTTATATACAATGAAACAACACTGGTGGAGTTGGGCTTCCTTAGTAGCGAGGTTCTGCCAGACCCGCAGATGGTGCTTGGAACGATTCAGAGCACGATGCCTCTTGGACTGTTTAGGGGTTTGGGTGCGGGCCTTTGGGCTCAGGACTTTGGAGTTTAGGGTTTAGGGTTTAGGGTTTAGAGGCTGAGGGTGAACGTAGACCCTTCATGGAACCACGAGCTCTCTTCGCCAGCCTCTTTTTGATCTTTTTGGGGGGGGGGGGGGGGGGGGGGGGGGGGGGGGCCAGAAATCACGAGTCTACGCCAGGTTTGGGGGCATAACTTCATGGCCTGCCGGGGCTTGATCTGAAACACTTCCTTAAACCTTAAATCCTAAACCATAAACCCTATATCCCAAACTCTAACCCCTTGCTGCCCTAAATCCTAAGCCCTATCAAATGTAGAGAATTGAAGGAGGCCCAAGCGTCCTTGAAGAAGGGGATTTAGGATTTGGGGATCTATCTTGCATGAGCTCCGGGCTTTGCAGCTGAGAAGTGTGTGGCTATAAGTGTGGGTGCAGGGCTGCTGTACTTCGGGTCCTGTAGGTGTTCCCAGAAAGCCCAAGACTGAGCTGTTCTAGTTGAAAGCATAAACCCAGACTTTACTGTCACATGTTGTGCATTCCTTGACTCATTGTGTTCCGATTTTTGCAAAACGTTTAACCTAGAGCGGACTTTGACTCATAAGAGAATTACGTAAATTCATGATGCTCAGTCTTGCATCCCAAACCCTAAATCTACTGAAGTAGACAATAGTCAGATAGGAAAGTTTGTTCTTAACCAAGACAAGATGGTCTGGCTTCCGCAATGATGAGGTCTGCCCAGCAGCGTGTGTCTCCGAAGGGGCAGTCAAAGACTCAGCGAGTCACTTCGGATGTCATCTGCTTGTCGGCGGACTACAATGCTCGAAAGGAAAACACGGTCAGACTTCTTGAGCGCTTCTAGGTTTAGACTGTTGATGGAGTGCTTCATGCTTGGAGGCTTGAGGTTTCTCGTTTGTGTGTTTAGGGTTGCCTGCTTGAAGTCCCGAGTGTTCTTCAGGATGATGCAGGCGCCGCGACAAATGCAATCCTATCTCCAGCAAACTCCCGCGAATACGGACTACCTAGACCCCCAAAAGTAGGTAAACTAACGGCCCAAAACCTATAAAAGGCTGTTATTCTACATACTTTGAGGGTCCAGGTACACTGAAACCTGGACTGGCTCTACACACCCTTGAATCCTAAGCCCCAAACCCTCCACCGAAGGCCCTTTGCATCCAAGGAAGGGGGCACAGCCCGACATCAACGTTCTTGAATTTCAGCTCCTCCCCAGTCAGAAACCGGGGACAATCACCCAGAGGGCCCAACACCCCTTCACCAAGCAATTGTCCTTAAACTGAAGATCTCTTGTTCTTTTAGTAAGGGGGGTTGGGCTCTCTTTTCGACTTGCCAAGGCTTCAACCGTACATGTTCATTCAGAATCCACTGTGCAGACCTCAGCCAGCGCGTCAAGTCCGGGTTGTTTTTCGTTGATGTGTGTCAAACCCAAAGCCGAGAACCCCATAATTTCATAATATACCATTATTGAAGCAAACCCTGAACCCTATAGTTCGATAATGTACCATTGGAGCACTTTCACCTGCCGGTTTTAGGGATAGGCTACGCCCAGGAAAGCCAGACGCCCTTAGTCCTCACACTGCAGATTGCGATTCATCTGCACGAGCATGCAGGGCTTGGCAAGTGTAAACCTCGAGAAAGGCCCGGGATTGTGGCTGGCAAATCCGAGAACGGCAACTGGCATCGGAGCCGTTACAGAATCACACACACATACACTCGGAGATCCAGTTGGAAGTCGAACAACTGCGAAACGCAGAGCCCGAGACGGGAGGCGGGCGGCCTAGGTCGCAACCACCGCTGCTGGAACCTCTCGCTACTAGCCTTCTACTCTCAGATGATCGTCATTCCTCCTCCAGGCCCTCACCCCTCGCAATCCTCTGCCTCCTCGTCCGGAGCCTTCATCGTCGCCGTCACGCTGCAAGGCCATGTCGTCGTCATCATCGTCATCGCCATGAGGTCATACGAACTGACATGCAAGTCAAGCGTGAGGTGCTCCTTCGCCGTGGTGGACCTGGGCGACGTTTCACGATTGGAGGAGAAGAGGCATGCCGATTGAGTGTACTCACAGGGCAGCCAATATTGACACCAAATCCTGAAACCTACTATACCTCTAGCCGAAAGGGCCTACCTTTTTAGGGCTCCTTATTATGGTTTCTATATATAGTTCCTTAAAAAGGTAGGTCTTTTCGGCTACAGGTAGAGTTTTCAATGCTTGGTAATCGTATCCCTCAGAGTCACTAGGGCACCCTTGGGCCCGAAGTCTTTTAACAAAGCGGATCTTGGCCAAGGGTTGCGGGGACGGAGCTTACTGTCTAGGGTAGATAGGGTTTAGGATGCTTATTCATGCGGTTGATGGTATAGATCCTGCATTACCTTAAGGACCCTAAACTATGGGAATTATGGTATATTCCTTATTATGGGTGATGCAGGGTTTACATATCATCAACAGTAGCTGTTAATTGGGCTGTAGCGTTTACGGCTTAGGGTGGGGGGCCAAGGCTGATGTTGTGTATCCGTAAGCAGAAGATGTGGAATGCCGATGCAGGTTTTGTTGAGCTTCGGTTGTTAGTTCGACCTGGCGTCTCGATCTACAACACAGCAAAAACCCTAAACCCTAAACCCTAAACTATGGGATGTAGAAGCCGAGTTACCTCCGGCATGGGCCAGGTTGCTGTACTGCGGTAGAAGGGACACCAGATTCTAGCGTTGTTGAGGCCTAAACCCCTGATGCTATGGTTGATGATCTCAATCCTGCATTACCCGCGATTATAACATGGAATACCATAATTCCATAGTCTAGGGTCGTTAATTGAAGGTAATGTAGGATGTATTTCAACAGCCGTATGAGTGATTGCAGGTACCAGCGCCTCTTCCTTGTCGATTGGCCCGGCGAGGGCGTGTGTCTCGACTGCTTAGGGTTTATATAGGGGTTTAGGGTATTTAGGTTTAGGGGGGTTGGCGTTTTGGGTTTAGCGTTTGGGTTAGGGATTTGGGTTTAGGGTTTAGGGGTGCGGAGGGTGAACGAGCGACAGTTTCCTGCTATGTAGGTGTCCAGCGTTTGGGGTTGGAACGGGGATGAGGGCTTGCGAATCTTAGAAGTCACAACGAGTGCGTTTTGCACACCTTTCAAGAATGCCCAGGCTGGGGTAGACTCGGAAGTTCAACAGGAAGGGACGTTTGAAGTTGATTTGTGGCCGTAGAGCTGCACAGCAACCGCAAGCCCCAAGCGGCCCGAATCCTCGAACCTGAAGAGGAATCATGAGTCGCCGGGCCTTACATCCCGGACCCAAGAGCCTTGTCCCTGCATCCTTAATTTTCAAGCTAAACCCTCTCCCCCTGGCAGAAACATTGAATTAGTGTTTTGGGATGGTTTGAAGTAGTGTCGCTCTTGTGCTAGACAGGAAAGCTGAAAAGATATCACAACCCAAGACATATAGCAAGTTGTAATAATTTTAATATGAACTAACATGAGGTAAGACAAGAGAAGACAAGATACCTCAAGACACACAAGATGGGATAAGGCAGAAAAGCCATGCACGACTGGCCAGGCTCCACACGAAGATCCTCAGTTCTTTGCAGACGCTGCTGGAGGGCAAAGTCGCATCAGGCCTTCCATACCCCAAGACCCTAAGTATGCGAATAGTGCCTACTTTGAGGTTTCAGGTCTACAAATAGCTCCTGTTTTGGGATATTTGGAGTATTGCGGGACAAGGAGCAATAAACAAACCTCTATAGCCCCCTGGCTCTTAGTGGAGAATGTGGCAATGGATCCCTGCGGTTGATGATATAAATCCAGCATTACCTTAATGACCCTAAACTATGGGAATTATGGTATATTCCTGATTATGGGTAATGCAGGGTTTATATCATTAACCGTATGATAGTCCGCTCGGGTCGCCTATCGTAGTGTCTACAAACCCATCCCAGTGGACCTACGGTTGATGACTGATGATATAGATCCTGCATTACCCATAACAAGGAATGTACCATAATTCCCATAAGAGTCTAGGACCAATGAGGTAATGCAGGATTTATATCATCAGCCGTAGGAATCTAAAGCGCCCGCACAACCCTCCGAAGAGCCAGCTTAGCACTTCACACGGCCCAACTCAAAACCCAGCAATCCTAAGCCTCAAATCACTAAACCCCCAAAAACCCAGACAGTGTAGACCCTGAAGATATTGTTACAAACGGGTCCTGGAGAGGGGGGGGGGACTATAATAGCCCTAACACCTGTAGACCCTATAACCTCTAAGCTGGGTCCCTCTGCCTCAAAACCGCAATTACCTACTATTTAAAAATTACCTATACTATTTTGGAGGTTCCTTATTATATTTATGGTATATTATACCCCCACCCAGGCCCGAGAACACCCTCGACCCAAACGTTCCTACCACCTAGAGCGGGTCCTGGAGGACCACCATACTTGAATACTTTATTTGGTACCTTTTCCTTAGAGGAACCATGGTGAAATGCTATCGGACTATGTTGGGGGACTTAGCTATAGTATCATGGGCCCCAAAACCCTGCTCTCAGTATCATATATTAAGAGTTTTGTGCTTGATCGTCCTTGGTTACTTTCAAAAGCCTGTATCCTAAGAGGCGGTCCCTTCCGCCTGGTCTATCGCAGCGTGGAATACGCAGACGGTGATCCGCGGGGAAGCCCAGTTTGGGGTTCCGGGTTTCGGCTGTAGGGTTTAGAGGGTTTAGGGCCTAGGGGTTTAGGTTTGGGGTTAGGGTTGAGGGGTTTAGTGGTTTAGGGGCTTTGGGGTTTAGGGTTCAGGGCTTAGGGTTTAGTGTGCTCAGTGCTAAGGGCCATTCGAGAATGCAGTATGCACTTACATAGGCATCGAATGGGGTTCCTGTGTAGGCCCTTGCGTTTGGGGCTTTGGGCTGTGGTTGAGGTTCATTTGATCAGACATGTGGTTCCGATCGCAGCTGCAATCCCTATGAGTGTGATCCTCTTCTCTTCTGCACCAGAAGCGTTTGGTGGGGGTGTCTTGTGCTTTGGCGTTGAACCCACCTAAGTTGTAATCTGACCGAAGTGCCACATTGTGTTTGGGATTTTGCGCATTTTGGTGATAATGCTCATCGGCCCCATATTGGAGTCGAGGCGACATGCATCATAATCAGAGAACCTTCTTATGCATATGGTATCCTTAATTATTTCTGCATAACGCACCAAATGGACACTTTGTGAAGACCTTGTGCAAAGCCCTCAGAAGACCTCAGTGCTTCGTCACGGCATACTTGCTAACACTTCCCTCGTGCCATGCCCTCGAGGACACAGTCTGCACACGTCACTGAAACATAAGTTTATGTAGAGTTTGCAGCGTGGGATGTAGGTTAGGATGGAATTCGCTAGCCTGACAAACAGTTGGTCAGTGCCAGACAAGATGGGCTAAACAACCCAAGACATCCCACCTCTCACGACTTCAGAGCATTTGCTATATGTGGGCTTGTGGCTGAGGATTCGGGCTTTCATGCTATGTTGGCCAAAGCACCATCGGTTAAACGGTTCTACGAGCAGTCAGCGATTTTCGCACATCCTAAACCTTAAACTGCAAATCCCAAAGCTGATTCCCCGGACAACCCGAAGGCCTACCTGGACCCTCAAAGTATGTAGAATAATAGCCTTTTATAGGTTTTGGGCCATTATTTTACCTACTTTGGGGGGTCTAGGTATACTCAAGACAGCAAGGTTCATCTGAGGCCCAAAGACCCCAGACCCTACACTCAAAGTCCTGTGCACCTTAAAGCCCTTTGCCCTAAAACCCGAAACCCTGAAGCCCTAAACCCAAGCTTTAGATTAACAAAAATCAAAAAGCTTTACAGCCAGAGTTGAATCCAAACCCTAAACCCCGAAACTCAAGCTTTAGACCCTGCCCTGCAACCCTGAATTCCTAAACCCTGCAACCCTGAAGCCCTAAAGCCTTAAACTCTAAAGCCTCCCCCCAGGGCCTGGCGTGCAGTTGCCCAGTTCTTCGGCCTTTGGCCGGAGCCACCAGCTCGGCCTGCGTGCGCCGGTTTAAGGTTTAGGGTTTAGGGGTTTAGGAGTTTAGGGGTTTCGGGCCGGGTTTAGGGTTCAGGGTTGAGGGGTCTAGGGTTTGGGGGTTTAGGGTTTGGGGGTTTAGGGTTTAGGGGTTCAGGGGTTTAGGGAGACGCTAGGCTTTGGGGCCTTTGGGATCGGAGTTCTGCGGTTCCTCTGTTGCTTATCAGGTCTTATACGGGTTAGTGTAAGGGTTCTGTGGCTTTTTGGTTTAGAGTGTTGCAGGGTGTAGGGTTTAAGGCTTTTTTTCTGCTTAGTTAGTTATCACAAGGTTTTCGGTTTTCATGTGTCAGGGCTTGGCCCTAAGCCCTGAACCCGGGAGCCTGAACCGGTCTTTGAGGGTTTCCCAGAGACTCCAATATCCCTCAATTAAGGAATATATACCTTAAATTATAGTAGGATCCCAAATATGACTTAAGGAATATTCCTAAATATTGGGATGTTGGAGTCTCTGGGTTAGAATTCAGCATGCAGACTTGAGGGGTTTGTGTCAGGGGCTTTGGGGCATGGAGTTCAGGGCTTACAGGGCTTCAGGGTTTAGCTTAGGGGGTGTGGGTGCGGGATTCGTTGTTGAGAAGCTCGTAGCGAGAGTTCATATTTTGCTAAAGCTGTCTGCCAGTAGTTTCATCTTTCATCACCACGAGTGTCATCGTCACTACCACCGCCACCGCCACCCCCACCACCACCACCACCACCACCACCACCAGCACCACCACCACCACCACCAGCAGTTATCATCACAATCATGATGTCTAACTCGTGCTTCTACCATAGAACATGTGGGATAGAAGTTTCGGCTGTCTAGTTCTGGGAGTCCTCCATAGCATCTCCGCCTCTTGTATGTGCTTCACGGCTTCCGCAACGCCCGAATCACTGAAACCTACCAGGACTCTCATCGTACCTTCAAATAGGGGTATATGGTCCCAAGTAAGGGGCATCTAGGGTCTAATAGAAGGTAGATGGAGGGTCTAGGTAATGAGTTGCCTTGTCAATTCTTGTTTCGAGGTTATGAGCTTAGCAGTTTAGCATGTTGGTTTCAGGGTTTTGGGCCCGTGTTGTGGCTTGGGGTTTTCGGGACCCTAAGCCATGAATTTTTACACATCCCTAATACAACCTTATAGAACCCTAACCCCTTAACCTGTATACCGTATAAGCCCTCAAAAAGTCATACACGCCCTACACCCGAAGCCCTTACAGAGCCCTGAACCCTAAATCCCATAAGTCCTACACCCTTGTGGTTTGGAGTTTAGAGTGCCATACCAGGTATCACGGCATCGTCAGGCTTCCGTGGCGCGACACGGCCGCTCAGCTGGTAAGTTGGAGTTTCGGTTTAGCGTGAGAAACAGGGGTCGCTTGCGAGCGGCGGGGTGATTGACGGTTTAGGGTTTAGGGTTTAGGTGATGGTTTAGGGTGTAGGTTAAAATCCGGATCCTACGATTCACGGGGCATCTTCCTGGACCCTGACACACTGGGCCGCAAATCGTAGTTAAACCTACATATCCTAATCCCTATTTTGCTGAAACTGCCATGTCATGTCAGTTGACAGATGGAGATTCCCGAGGTTCGGTATTCCACCTTTCAGTCCCCTAAGGCTCCATGTACCCATATAGTATATGCTTAGGCCTCAGGCCTTAAAGTACCCATATAGGGACCCCTTTTCAGGCTCAAGTATCGACTATAAAGGTACATGGAGCCTTTGGGTTTGTGGCCTTCGCCCTCGAGACCTCCGGGAGGATCATGGGACTTCGCAGGGTTCCTTAGAGGGCTCCTTTAAGGGATCCTTTAGGGTTTAGGGCTTAGGGATCTATAAGGGAAAGTAGATCCCCTAATTTGGGGCCCTATGCTACTAAGGGTACTTGATAGGAACCCCCATTAAGGGATCTACTTTTGGGATCCTCGTGGGGGTCTGGGACACTGGAGTGCGGGAGTGGCGCGGCAGGAGGGCGATATACTGCCGTGTCGGCCTTTTCCGTTCAGGCACAATGTGGTCCTTCGGCATTAACCAAGAGACCGTCCGACCACACCTGGGAAGAGAGCGATTTGTAAACCTTAAACCCTAAACCCGGATTTCGGTGGGGATATGTTGTGAACGCCCCAGTTCCAGCCACAAGCAACTCTCAGTCCCCGGCATCCACACCACAGGGTTAAAAGCGCCTGGTCACAAACTACCTTCGTCTCCATTGTAGTTCCTTGTATGGGTTAGCTTCTTAGGGTCCTAAAAACAAGCGATGTTAAACCAAGAAGGAACTAGAACGGAGTCTATACAGAAGGTACTCGCAAGGATTTGGGTTTGAAGTGGGGGTTTCCGAAAACAGGGGACCCTAATATAGTAAGATCGTTATTATCAAGACCCCACAATAAGGTACCCCTTATTTTCGGAAACTCTAAACCTTTATAGACCCCTTTAAGGAACCCTTAAAGAAATCCCTTTTACGGTACCCCTAATTTTCAGAATCTCCCAAGTGGAGACTCCAAAGCCCCTTTTGCCCCAAGGTGTTCAGGCCTTGCTAAAAAAAGCACCCTGAGGCCTCCTAAACCCCTAAACCCCTAAACCCTAAACCCTAAACTTAAAGCTGGTGAGGCCTCTAAGACCGTCTACTCGGACCTAAAGTAGGCCCTTATTCCCTTTTTTGCGGGTTCAGGTTCCCTTATAACCCCCTTTAAACCAAAAAGGGCACCCTTTTTCTTCCTAGGCTACTCTTGGGTCTAGTCTAAGACCGTGTAAGGAAACTGCTCTTTAAGGTTTAGGGTTTAGGTTTTGGTTTGGTGTAACCCCAAAGGTCCAAAGGACCCAATAATTGGGTACTCGGGTTTAGGGTAGTGGTTATGTAGCCTACTAGTTTGGAAAGTATATGATAATTAGTATAGGTACTTGGACCCCTGGGGTAAGGAAACTACTCATGCGTTCTGGGGGTTTGCATCTACGGGGGAAAGGAACCGCTGAATGATTGTGATCGGGATGTTGGCATTAACATTTCGTGACCGGGACTTCTTGTGGCCTCTGAACCTTCTGGCTCTCGAACGGCTGCAGCTGCGGATGACCGATACTTACCCTGAAGCTTTAAGCCCGAACGTGAATAGTTCCTTAAACCCAGCACCCTTAACCCCTACCTTAACCTACCAAACACTACTTTTTGGTAGGTTCTTACCATAAACCCTTATAATAGATTTCATAGGGACCCTACAAAAAAGTAGGTTTTGGTGGGTCAAGGTAGACCCTGAACCTGAAGTTCACCCTGAACTCCAGTGATAAGCCCTAGAACCCAGAAGCCCTACTTGGAGGATCATGGGACTTAGTAAGTACGGTTACAGTAGAAGCCAGAAAGTTGGAACATGGCTTTAAAGTGCTAGGTCCCTTCTACTTTACCTTAAGGGCATGAGGATAATCATGTTCCACCTTTCTGGCTTCTACTATATAAGTACCTTAATTGGAGTTGTGAGTATCTATAGGTATTGTTGCCTTAAAGTAGACTTGACAAAGGTGAGTACCTTAATTGGGTCCAAAAATAACTGTAAGTACAGTTGCATTAGTAGTAACCCGAGTTACTAAGTTCTCCGATCCTTTTAGTCCCAACAAAGGTGATTTTCCTTGTTCCCTCCTCCACTCTCCTGGCGAGCGGCGAGACTCGGGAGGACACCTTGCATGGGCTCATCATACGAGGCCAAAAGGGTCTTAGCCTATGGGGATTTAGTAGCGATTAGGGTTCCCATAATAGGGTTCATACTGAGGAATCCCCACCCCTAGAATCTTAAACCCCCCTTTTTGGCCTCCCATCGGCTCAGAGTTTCAGATGTCGGCTTTCAGGGGAGGTTGCGCACGCATGGAACCCTCAATGACGGGTTTGCGTGACGCTAGGATCCATGCGCCTACCCTTCGGATTACACAATGCCTTAACGTCGCGAGCGCTCGCCTCCACTCTCTTCGACATTTCAGATGTGGGAGTCTCAGAAATCAAAGGGGCCAGTACAGACCCACACGCCCGGTAGATAGCTCACCCTAAACCATACTCTGCCTTAGCATTTGCCAAATTTGCAGGATTTGGTGTTTCGGGGTTGTGAGACAGCTGCTGCTAGCTCCAATGAATTTTCTTTCGCTGGGCCAACGAATTACTGCAATTCTTGCTTTGGAAGACAACTGAGACCGGTAGACAGCGATTGGAGAGTGTAAGTAGCCCCAAAGCCAAAAGCCCCAAAACTAAGGCCTTCCTGTACGTCCGAAAAAACCTGACCGAACAAGCAGTTATATAGAAACACACTATATATAGTCGCTATTTAGGACCTCTATCAAGGTAGGTCCCTAAACCCTAAAACCCTAAACCCCTAGACCCTAAACCCTAAAGCTACCGGTTCTTGTTCGCCCTAACAAGGCTCCCTGAGTTGCAGGAGGTGCTCGGCGAGGAGGAAGATGCGAGATTCGACCCGCTGCTGCCACCGTTGGCCAGCGAGAAGTCCAAGAAGGGGAGTTAGGCGGTTCTATAATCAGAAGGGCTCCAGAATAAGGATTATTATGCTGAACGTAGAAGTCCAAGAAGGGGAGTTAGGCGGTTCTATAATCAGAAGGGCTCCAGAATAAGGATTATTATGCTAAACGTAGAAGTCCAAGAAGGGGAGTTAGGCGGTTCTATAATCAGAAGGGCTCCAGAATAAGGATTATTATGCTAAACGTAGAAGTCCAAGAAGGGGAGTTAGGCGGTTCTATAATCAGAAGGGCTCCAGAATAAGGATTATTATGCTAAAGGTAGAAGTCCAAGAAGGGGAGTTAGGCGGTTCTATAATCAGAAGGGCTCCACAATAAGGATTGTTATGCTAAACGTAGAAGTCCAAGAAGGGGAGTTAGGCGGTTCTATAATCAGAAGGGCTTCAGAATAAGGATTATTATTTTAAACGTAGAAGTCCAAGAAGGGGAGTTAGGCGTTTCTAGAATCAGAAGGGCTCCACAATAAGGATTATTATGCTAAACGTAGAAGTCCAAGAAGGGGAGTTAGGCGGTTCTATAATCAGAAGGGCTCCAGAATAAGGATTATTATGCTAAACGTAGAAGTCCAAGAAGGGGAGTTAGGCGGTTCTATAATCAGAAGGGCTCCAGAATAAGGATTATTATGCTAAACGTAGAAGTCCAAGAAGGGGAGTTAGGCGGTTCTATAATCAGAAGGGCTCCACAATAAGGATTATTATGCTAAACGGATTATTATGCTAAACGTAGAAGTCCAAGAAGGGGAGTTAGGCGGTTCTATAATCGAAGGCTCCCAGAATAAGGAATTATTTATGCTTACACTAGAAAGTCCAAGAAGGGGAGTTAGGCGGTTCTATAATCAGAAGGGCTTCAGAATAAGGATTATTATTTTAAACGTAGAAGTCCAAGAAGGGGAGTTAGGCGTTTCTAGAATCAGAAGGGCTCCACAATAAGGATTATTATGCTAAACGTAGAAGTCCAAGAAGGGGAGTTAGGCGGTTCTATAATCAGAAGGGCTCCAGAATAAGGATTATTATGCTAAACGTAGAAGTCCAAGAAGGGGAGTTAGGCGGTTCTATAATCAGAAGTGGCTCCAGAATAAGGATTATTATGCTAAACGTAGAAGTCCAAGACGGGGAGTTAGGCGGTTCTATAATCAGAAGGGCTCCACAATAAGGATTATTATGCTAAACGTAGAAGTCCAAGAAGGGGAGTTAGGCGGTTCTATAATCAGAAGGGCTCCAGAATAAGGATTATTATGCTAAACGTAGAAGTCCAAGAAGGGGAGTTAGGCGGTTCTATAATCAGAAGGGCTCCAGAATAAGGATTATTATGCTAAACGTAGAAGTCCAAGAAGGGGAGTTAGGCGGTTCTATAATCAGAAGGGCTCCAGAATAAGGATTATTATGCTAAACGTAGAAGTCCAAGAAGGGGAGTTAGGCGGTTCTATAATCAGAAGGGCTCCAGAATAAGGATTATTATGCTAAACGTAGAAGTCCAAGAAGGGGAGTTAGGCGGTTCTATAATCAGAAGTGGCTCCAGAATAAGGATTATTATGCTAAACGTAGAAGTCCAAGACGGGGAGTTAGGCGGTTCTATAATCAGAAGGGCTCCACAATAAGGATTATTATGCTAAACGTAGAAGTCCAAGAAGGGGAGTTAGGCGGTTCTATAATCAGAAGGGCTCCACAATAAGGATTATTATGCTAAACGTAGAAGTCCAAGAAGGGGAGTTAGGCGGTTCTATAATCAGAAGGGCTCCACAATAAGGATTATTATGCTAAACGTAGAAGTCCAAGAAGGGGAGTTAGGCGGTTCTATAATCAGAAGGGCTCCAGAATAAGGATTATTATGCTAAACGTAGAAGTCCAAGAAGGGGAGTTAGGCGGTTCTATAATCAGAAGGGCTCCAAAATAAGGATTATTATGCTAAACGTAGAAGTCCAAGAAGGGGAGTTAGGCGGTTCTATAATCAGAAGGGCTCCAGAATAAGGACTATTATGCTAAACGTCTCGACCCCAAGCGCGTTACTAGGGTTCTATGGGGCCTGAGAGTTCTGTAAAATGCTACAAGTGTTCCTTGTTAAATGCGATGGTTCGTGCAAGGGGTTCTAGAGGTCTCTAGGGGCTTGGGCTTTAGGGTTTAGGCCTTTTAGTTGCGGCTTGGGGTTTCAGGGTTTCGATCTGTAAGGGTTTTGTGTAAGCATTTTATCCATAGACTTTTTGCGGGGTTCTCCCAGGATTCATGTCTTCGGGCTTTGGGATTTAGGGCTTTGGGTCTTAGGGAAAGGTGAGTAGAAGGCTTCTATAGGGGCTTCTGTAAGGGTTTAGACTCTGGGATGTTTTGGTTTCAGGGCTTCAACTTCGGGGTTCGGGTTTGGCGTTAAAACACAAGGGTGTTCATTTAAGGGTTCTTGTAATGTAGGGGGTGCAACAGGGGTGTTTGTACGCCGGTGGTTTGATGGCACCGACCACAGCATCAACAAGTTGTTGACGGAACGAAAAAAGCTCACGCCAGGGTGAGGACAGACTGACTCTCATGGCAGCGTGCTTTTGACCGACGAGGCCGTGGTCGCGGCCACCGTGCAGATCACCGGAGGTCCCGATGGTCAAGGCTTCTATGAAATACACACAATGCAGAGGATATCTATCGCCAAGTGGTCATCCTCACAGAGACACGTTGAAGCGCGTCGGCAGGGACATGGTTGACGAGACCTGGCAGTTTGGGGGGCTTTGTTGGGATTTCTGTACGGGTTTGTAACTAAAACTTAATAATAAATAAACACACTTTGGGGCCGGTCCTCCCGAAATCATCCCTTCCGGAGCAAGAGCAGAAGTAAGAGCAAGAACAAAAGTAAGAGCAAACTCAGGAGCAAGAACAGGCGCAGGAGCGAGAGCAACAGACACAGCAAGGGAAGGAGCAAAAGCCCATGCAGGAGCAAGAGCAAGAGCAAGAGGGCTGGGGTTTAGGCAGTTGAGGGTACCCATATGCTCCATAGTAGTTCCTTTTTGGGATTACCTTATAGGATTCTGAGTATGAACCCCAAAAAGGAACTACTATGGAGCCCCTGGGTAGAGCCAAGAGGGCTGGATTTCATATCTGGGCAGCCTGATTCCCATAAGTGCGAACTCGCAAACCCCCAAACTCGATAGCAACCGCAGAACCCCCACAGATGCCACAAGTAAATACGGTTGATGATATAAATCCTGCATTAATAAGGAATACACCATAATTCCCATAGTTTAGGGTCCTTAAGGTAATGCAGATTTAGTTCATCAACCGTAGTTTTCTGCTAAGGATCTCTGATTTCTATCACACTTTCAACTTACTCATATCTCCCGAACCATGCGAAGTCCTGCAACCGTAGGAGCCCTTCCTGCCTATTCCTTACGAAGCAGGTCACGACAAGATCCCAGATTTAGAACGATACTATCATGGGAGGCCAAGAGGGGGTCTTAAGCCTATGGGGGTTTAGTAGGGATTAGGGTTCGCATAATAGGGTTCATATTGAGGAATCCCTTCCCCAAGAATCTTAAACCCCCCTCTTGGCCTCCCATCATACTACGCACGTGGATCTACAGTAACCCTAAGGCTCCATGTACCCATATAGTATATACTTAGGCCTTACAGTATCCATATAGGGACCCCCTTAAGGCTTAAGTATCTACTATAAAGGTACATGGAGCCTTTGGGTAACACATACAAAGTCGAGGGTCTGCTCTCAGATATGCATCGGAGCTAGGTTTCGAGCCACACACCTGTAACACTCTTCAACCGTGTCATTCCCCAGAGAGCCCCAAGACCCCGTAATTAAGGAATGCTTGAATCATAATAGGAAGCCCTACATAGTCTAAGCCGTATTCCTGAATTGAGGGGTTTTGGGCTCTTTGGGCCCCGATGTTGCATTGCACCATAAATCTCCGAGCATTGGCAAGGTCAAATCGTCGACCCCATGCTTTTCACTCTGGTCAAGCCGGCCTGGAATTTGGGGCAGTTTTTGACGCAGCACTTACCTTTGGCTAGTAGGGAATGGAGGAATGGGGTACAATTATAACCGCTATTACTACCATTCTTCTATTCCCTACTAACCAAAGGCAAGAGCATAGGAACCTGTAACCAGGGGGTGGGATGCCGAGGTGACAGCCGGCTGGACTGCCTTGGCAGAGATCTTTAATATGGGGGAGTTTCCAAAAATTGGGGACCCTAATATAGTACCCTAAATAGTAGGATCCTTATTTTAAGAACTCCCAAAATAAGGTACCCCTATTTTCGGAAACTCCCATATGATAAGGCCAGGCACACTCCTCAACTTAAGTATATAGAAGAGTTCTAGTCGCTCGGTAATGTAGAAACTTGCGTACATGTAGTATTTGCTGGATTCCCTACTTATATGTGATAAGATTTACTCCAAAGTTTTGTTCTTCCCATTAAGGCCGCCAGGACAGTACGATTGATGATATAAATCCTGCATGACCCATAATAAGGAATATACCACAGTTCTCCTAGTTTAGGGTCCTTAGGGTAATGAAGGATTCATATCATCAACCGGAGTGCGTAGTGTGGGCAGGTCTCGGACCTGAATGTTGGTGCGGATTTCAGGCACGCCGCAGAAGAGAAAGCCCCAGTTGGTACCCCATACTTCTATACAAAGGGCCTTTTCATGGGAGGACATTTTGAGGGATCAGCTTTCTAGCGCCGGAGGTCTGGCAGGTGATGAAGACATGGCAAGCATGAACCCCACAACCCAGCGCATGAAGCGAACGCAAGCCGCTTGAATCGAGTAGAGCAACAGAGTCCCCGCCAGCACAAACAAACATAAAGATAGCACAAACAACAATACTCTGACACGAACGAAGATCAAAGCAAAAGGTTGTCAGCACCGTAATCCCTAAACTCTAAACCGAACAAGACCCTAAACCTTAAACCCGTGGAGAAAGACGCTAGGGCACTTTAAACAAAAAAGCCTTAAACCCTAAACCCTAAACCAAACAAGAAGCCAGGCTTCTCGGCCTATCTTGGCGGCTCCTGCTTCGGAGATTGCAGCAGCGGAGCTTCCAGGCACCCGGCCCCGGAACTCCGTTTTCTTTTTTTTGTGGCGTAGAGTTTAAGGTTTAGGTTTTAGGCCTTTAGGCTTTATAGAACTTTTTTCTTTTCTTGTGGCGTAGAGTTTAAGGTTTAGAGTTTGAGGTTTAGGGTTTTAGGGCTCAGGGTTTAAGGAGGTCTGTTTATTTTGTTTTCGTGGGTTGCCTAAACCCCCAAACACAAGTATTTTGTTATTCTACATACTTCTGGGGTCCAGGTAGGGTTTAGGCTCTACAGGGCTTAGCGATGAGTCAAGCTTTTAGGTGTTTAGGGCTCAGCGGCTTAGCGATGAATGATGTGGGTTTAGGGATTTGGGAGCTGGGTAATCGATGCTACGAGGGTACTGCCTCACACCAGGCTGTGTCGGCGGTGGAACGGCTTGCGTCCAGCGACTGACTGCGTTCGTGCATTGTGACAGAAACCGGTGAAGCCGTCAAGTTCGTTTTCCCCGGCTTTACCTGACCTGTCCGGTGTGACGATATCACAGGCAACCATTTCTTGTTGGGGGCTTTGGGTTCGTGCCCTCAATTGACCGATGCGTGCCTCGGCAGGGAGGTCTGGGAAGTCTTAAGTACCCCCCCCCCACCCCCCGGGACCGCCCTGGGGAGTGCCAGGGTCTTGTGTGTGTCATGTGCGGGTTTCTACTGGGTATTGGGGACTTAGAGTTGCGGGTTTGGGGGGTTTGGAAGAGGGCTCCTTGCAAGCCCGTACAGCTTGATTACTGTAAAGATTTGCAAAATTGTAGCACGTCTTGAGGTGTTAGGGCCGTTAGGGCTTGGGTGGGCTTGTGTGGAATTCTAGGCAGTGGAGGTGTTCAGGGAATCAAGGGGCCTTAATAATTAGTAAAAGGGTCTTGGGGCATTATACTATAACTATAATAAGGAAACCCCCAAAAATGATATAGGTAACTGGGTTCAGGGAGATCGGGGCAGACAGTTGAGAACACAGACACGGCAGGCGGGGCTGAAGAGACCCTTTCAAGCCAGGCAGCAGAATATGGCGCCCTGCGAAAAGAGTCACGCTATTCCGTAGGTGCTTCGAACAGACCACACGCAAATCTCTGCTCTACTCAAGTTATTCAGGCTTGGCCTATGTGCTGATTTGCTTGTCGTAGCTTCCACAGAAGTTGACAAGCATCCTGATCAATACGCCCTAAAGCTTAAGTGAGCTGGAGGAGCAGACGTGCCGAGTGCTCTTCTGAGGGCTCTTCTTTGGAGTGTGCGGTATATAAACTTTGGACTGTCCAAATGAACGGAGCCATGAACGCCCAACCCTTAATAAAGCCTAGACTTCCTGAACCTCAAATCCCAACTCCTACACCCAAAAGCTTATGAAAGTACATCCCAAATTCCACCTCACACCCTAAACACTAAACCCTTGCAGAGGATCTACTGAGGGGGTCACATAACAGAAGTATTTATCGTTGATACCGAGGCTTCCATCCCGCCGGCTGGCAAAAATGGCACCTAATGAAAACAAAAAAGCAACTACCGTCAATCCTACAGGCCTTAAAAGCTGGATAGTGTCAGGCGCTTCCTGCTCCAGCTACTGCGAGGATCGCGGCTTACGCTGCCTGGCCGAGGCCACTGTTTATGGGGGTCGAATTCCGACGGGTCTTTCACGCTACGGGCTGTAAGTCTAACGGTTGATGATATAAATCCTGCTATACCCATAATAAGGAATATACTAACCATAATTCCCTTAGTTTAGGGTCCTTAAGGTAATGCAGGATTTATATCATCAACCGAAGTGCTCTGCAGAACCCCGAACCGTGGTGCGGAGGCCGATAAGGTCCGTGGGTTGATCATTGCTCACAAGGGCTGCCCTACCCAGAGGCCCCAAGTAGTTCCTTTTTGGGATTACGTTATAGGGTTCTATATACGTTCCTTTTTGGGATCCGGGATTACCTTGTAGGATTCTCTATACGAGCCCCCCAAAAAGGAACTACTTTGGGGCCTTTGGGTAGACTCTAGACAGGGGTCCTTGTAGAGGTTTGGTTGGGGGGTAGGTTCTCTTCGGGGTCTTCCATGGTTAGCGTGCCGCAGGCTTTGGTTTGCCGCTTTAGTGGGGTCAGGTTTCTTCAGCACCATGACTACTCAAGAGCGGCACCGGATGACACATCACAAGTCCGACTAGGGTACCAGCATCACTTATTGATTCGCTGCGTGTTTGAGAGACATTCGTTGTGGCCCAGCCCGCAACCCAACAGTTGTCTATAAACCATTGCTAGTGGGCTCCTGCTGAAACGAATAATTGCGATTAATGGGTTTCGGAGTTTGTAGACATGGCAGGACCTGCCCTTCATCAACAGTTGCGACGCCCTCTCTGCCATCATGGGATGCAGGACTCCGGCTGTAATCCTTGAACCCTTAGTTCCAAAACTTATGAGTCGAGCCTAGCCCAAGATACCATGAACCCTGTAGTTGCCCTAAACCCTAAACCCTAAACCCTAAACCCTAAACCGGAAAACCCTGTAGTTGCCGAAGCTTAAACCTCTCCCGAATCCCTATGACCTCAGTCCCATTCCCCTGTTCCATAGACATCATACCAACAACTGCTCGGAACCATGCCCTGAAGCCTTCAGAGCTCGTGTTCTGCGGGGATATAGATGGTTTAGGGTTTACCTAGAAGCTCCATAGTACTTCCTTTCTGGGGTTCATACCTAGAATCCTATAAGGTAATCCCAAAAAGGAACTAGTATGGAGCCTTAGGGTAGTGTCCGTCTGGGGCTTTATGCTGGCGAAGAGTCGGAAGGCCTGTGTTGAGCCATCGGAAAAGAGCCTGGAGTTTCTGTTGTGCTGGGGTGCTGGTTGTGATGAAAGTGTAGCTTCGTCCCCTCCTAGACCCGAACCCTTAAGCCCTAAACCCGAAACCCCTAAACCCTAAACCCGAAGCCCCGAACACTGGACCGTCCCTACCAGGGCCTTGATGGAGCCCCTTCAAGGAGCCGTCTAACGAAACCCTATGCCCCGAACGTAGAAAGCCATCCCCTCAACCCTAAGCCCTAAACTCGTCTACTTACGCTCCAAGCAGCCCCAAACATAGAAAGCCCTTGAAGACTTCGGCTCAGGATCTGCGAGCCGGGTGAGGGGTCGGACCATCCCGCACAGGACCTGGGTTTCATAGAGGGTCGTCTGGAGGTTTATGAGGGTGGTGGGTTTAGGGTTGAGGGGTTAGGGTTTCGGTTTTAGAGTTTAGGGTTTGGGGTTAAAGGTTTGAGCGTGACTGCGCAATTTGCAAGGTTTCACGGTGGTTTCGCATGTTGGTTCATAAGGCTTTTTGAACAGAGGTGTGTTTTGGGGCGGGGTCTTGCCAGAGTTGCTTTAAGGGCTTTGTAGGGTGTTGTAAGGTTTGATGTTCGTTGCTGCGCTGCTTTAAAAGGAGGGTTTTCGGACAAATGGTGTGGGGTTGAGGGCTTCAGGATTTAAGCTGCATAAAAGGGTAGGTTATTCATGGTTAAGGCAGGGCTTGAAGGTTGGGGCTTTTAGGGTAAAAGGCTTAGGAGTTTTAAGGCTCCCCGAGTACTTGAAGCCCATCTAAGCTTCAAAAACAGCATCCCATTTGTAACCGTGTGATGCATGGCATTTTGGGCTTCAGTGGGGCCGGCCGAGGACCTTGTTGAGGGCTGTTATTTAGGCTTGAATAGGCTTGTGGCATCTTTCCAGTGTTCAGTTTGGAAGTAAGAATAGATACTCGGATCCTTTCTCACAGGCTTTAGGTTGATTGGCCAGTTCGTGCGAGTGTTTCGGGTTTCCAACCTTGAGCTTGTGGCCTTGCGGGCTTCAAAACTCAGGTTGAGGTATGGGGGTCATGTTGTTATGTCTACAGCGGCAAGCGCCTGCAGGTGGTAGTGGATGCAAGTTTGGAACAGCAGGCCAAATTTTGGATTGCTTGGCTTGTGCTCGTATTGCCATAGATGTGGGTTTCGGAAGTCGGAGCCGCAAACATGTAACTGTGAAATGGGATGCTAATGATAGAGACTGCACATACGACACCCTATCACTGAGCATTGGGGACATGTGCTCCGACTGCCACGCTCGAGTTTATTGAGGCCTGAACCTGAATAAACGCTGCACCCCACCAGCCCTACCGGTTGTTAGGGTTCCTTCATGTTCCTTCTTACATCTTCCTTTCTGGGGCAACCCCAAACCATAAGTCCAAAGTTAGCGATATATGATATAACTCCCAGCATCCGCAAACAGGCTGAACTCCAAGTTTAGGTGTTTCCAAAACCCCCAAAGGTATGTAGAACAATGGCCCAACTCCTGTAAAAGGCTATTGTTCCACACACTTTTGGGATCGTGGTAGTTGCGGATCAGGTTTAGGATTTAGGGCTTAAGTGCTCAGCCCTCACGCAACACCCTGCAGCCGGATCAGGAAGTCTTCACCACGCGATCGGGACGATGTCTCCACAACACCAACTTCCGCCGCCGGCTCAGGGTTCTTAGGGGTAAAAAAGAAATAGTATTTTGATTTTTGGTTATTATAATCCCTAAGAAACAGCTAAAATCAACTTTTGCTAGGCTTCTAAGTTCAGTATAGGGTTCTTCAGAGGGTTGGAAGACTTTACTTGGAGGTTCATGGGTAGTTATAAAGTGGACACAGGGTTGAAAGGCTTTAGCTGGTGCTTTCATGGCATATGGGTGCTTGTAAAAATTCATGTCGCTTTTTGGGTACCCTAAATATTAGGTGCCGTACTATGATATGGACCCAAAAAGGGACCATAATTTCGACAACTACCCATATCTGAGGGTCCCAAAGGGCCACAGAAGCATACGGATCTCACAGGTAAGGTTCTGGAATTCCCCTCTGGGCCCTTCTTGCCCTCGCAAAAAGCTGCTTCCTTGTGCTTCCCTGCTCTTTCGGGACCCTGTATAGGTCGACCAAGCATTCATGTTTGTGTTGCCTCAGGCTTCTCAATACTAATAACAAATGCGAGCATGGATATTCTGGCCGTATGAACTGACTGGTCACTATCGTCACAACGTACCTTCTTCATCACCATCTTCTTCGTGGTCGTCACTTTTTCTCGTCATCACCCTCATCACAATTTCCATCATCAGGTTACAAGCGCAAGTTGTGCTACCAGTAGCAGTATAGTAGCAGTAGTAGCAGTAGTAACAGTAGTAACAGTAGTAGTAGTAGTAGTAGTAGTAGTAGTAGTAGTAGTAGTAGTAGTAGTAGTAGTAGTAGTAGTAGCAGGCACCCCCCCTACCAACTACACTTGCTCTCAACCATGTTAAGACAACATCCATTTTACTCGGTATTTACGGCACTTTCGTCATGTGCGATCATCCTAAGAGGCCTAAAAATCGACTTGTCGAGTTTGCAAACTCGGGCTCTTGATTTTGGACTTGCTTCTGGGGTGGGTGGGGGGGTGGGGGGGGGATGATGACGACAGTGTTACGCGAACACACCCAGCAGTATCACCACAAGAGCCGTTTAGCTCGGTATTTACGGTACTTTCGTGATGTCAGATTTTGTTACATATTCTGAGCCTCTACTTCTCGACTATGCGTATTAAACTTTGCTGTTTGGAACTGTTTGCAAAAAACTCGAATTTGGTTGGGGGAAAGCTTCTTCGGGGATGATCACGACACTGTTTTGCGGACACCCTGAACAATATTTCCACACTCAAGCGCGCACACACCACACACACCACTTCAAAAACCGACCCTCCTACGCAGAGGTTGGGCGGTAGGGGTGTTGGCGAGCCCCTCCCACGTACAGCTGGCATCTTTGTTTTTGAGGTTTAGAAGATGTTGCGCTTCAGGTTTTAGAAATGTTAAACCCTTCTTGGCAGCACCTGGGTTTTGCACGGTATTTACAGCGTTATCGTACTATCCGACCACCTGGGGTTTATCAGTTTCTTCCCCGTCGAGCTTGCAACTCCAGCTGCTGTCGCAGTTTTGGGGCCTGAGCCCCTGCAACTTCACCGGCTGTGACAGTTAAGGAAACTGAGCCTCTGCAACTTCTGCAGCTGCCACAGATAAGGAGCGTGAGCCCGTGCATCTTCTGCAACTATCGCAGTTAAGGCGCCTAGCAGCTACCGTTGCCCAGCCCGGATGGAACAAGTGTACTTGGGAGGGGGGGGGGCTAGTAGTAGTAGTAGTAGTAGTAGTAGTAGTAGTAGTAGTAGTAGAAGTAGTAGTAGTAGTAGTAGTAGTAGTAGTAGAAGTAGTAGTAGTAGTAGTAGTAGTAGTAGGAGTAGGAGTAGCGGCAGTAGCAGAAGCAGCAGTAGCAGAAGCAGCAGTAGTAGCAGTAGTGGCTGTAGTAGCAGTAGTAGTTGCAGCAGCAGCAGCAGGAGGAGGAGGAGGAGTTGTAGCAGTAGCCGTCGTCGTCTCCGGCTTTGGTAACGGTCGTGGCAGCGGTAGTGGCAACGGTAACGGTAGTTTTATAGTGGCACTGGTAGTGGTTGCAGTCGTAGTCGAGGTCGTCATGAACACGCCCTCCGGAAGCCCCCTCTGGAATCATCCTTACCTTTGAGAAATCCTAATTTGCATCAGGGGCTTCAGGGGCAACAGCCGGAGGAAGAGCCGCAGCAAGCAACAGCAAGAGCAGGAGCAAGAGCCAGCGTAGGAGCAAGAGACAGATCCCCCAAAAGTGCCGGTAGAGAACGACCCTATACCTTAACCCTGAAGAACCTACCTTTTCAAGGACTTATATAAGGAAAACATAATAGGGAACCCTGAAAGGGTAGGTTCCTCATAGTTACGGTGTATTTTCCGAGTTGGTTACATTTGGGGGGGGGGGGGTAGCAGTAACAAGTAGGCAATATGTCAGTAAGTAAGCAAGCAAGCAGTGGCTCAACCTGCCAGCATAAAGGTAATCATGTGGACAAAATGGACAAAAAACTTCGTAATCGCTGTGTCATCATCACCAGGACAGTTTCCGCTGACTTGCGACGCATCGCACCCGGACACGCGGCGACTCTGCGTTTGCCGGGCACCTGGTGCCGTCTCGAGAGTCTGCTCAGACTGCTTGGTGTGGCTCTGATTACCTGCACCGTTTCGGGGAATGGGGATAGAGGTAAAGTGGAGTGTTTAACCCTAAGTCCCCATAGTAGTTCCTTTTCGGGGTTCCTATGTAGAATCCTATAATAAGGTAGTCCCAAAAAGGAACTACTATGGGGCCCCTTAGAAACGGTTACTTCAGCCTCTGCGCTTGGCTTGACGTCGTCTCTGCGGGCAGCGGAGGATTCGGATATAAGGGAGAGAGGTGCCTCGAAGATAGGTACTGTGGAGACTTGCGTGGGAGGTATCCTAACTAGGTTGGATTTTGGGACATCTTTATTTTCCTTATTTGGGTTTATAAGGGACCTATATGTAGATATTTTTCAGGGTGTTTAAAGGCCAACCCAGCTAACTATGTAGGCGCAAAGTAGAGCTGCAGAAGGATTCTGGGAAAATGTCCCCCGCACCACCCGGATATTTGCATGGCGTCCACGCGCTAGGCCTTCAAGCGAGATGCAAGAACTCCGTCCCAAGGACCCTATCCCTAGACCTTAAACCCTAGACCCTAAACCCTCGACCCTAAACCCTTGACCCTAAACCCTAGACCCTAAACTCTAAACCCTAAACCCTGAAACCCTCCTGCTAAAGCCCCAAAGCCCGACTCCCCGGGCCCAAAGCCTTGAGCTGCTTTACCCTAAGGCCCCAAAGTAGTTCCTCTTTGGGGTTCATATTTAGAATCCTATAATGTAATCCCCAAAAGGAACTACTTTGGGGCCTATGGGTAGCCCCCGAAAGCTCCCCTAAAAACGAAGCCAAGACTCCGAAGGCCCTCTTAACCCTAGTCAAACGCGGCTTAGGGTGTAGGGGTTATAGGGGTTATAGGCGTTATAGGGTTTGGGGTTTAGGAGTGTAGGGGTTAGGGTTTACGGGTTATAGGGGTTATAGGGGTTTAGGGTTTACTGTAGGGTTTATAGGGTTTAGGGGTTTAGGGTTTGGGGCCCATGCCTCCATGGTGCATACTCAAATGCACGATCTTATCAGACCGAAAACCAGACCTTACGGCCCCAACAGCCCCAAGCTTTAGCCCATGAGCCGGCTTGTCCCATAGCGAGGCAGGAGCATTCTGCTGCCCACAGAGGGTCGGCCAGAGGTGGGCAGATTGGGTGTTCGGGCTCTAGGCTAGGGCGACTAGGGTTCAGGGTTTGTTGAGACTTTCGGCGAAACCATTTTAGGGTGTGCATGGGAATTGAAAGTTGTCCTTTCAACAGTGACGGGATAGCTGCATGAATGAAGCCAGCACTGGCAACAACGACTGTCAGAAGGCCGATGATGTTGACAACAGTGGTCGGGAATGATGTTAGTGCGTCTTGTCCTCATTATCATGTTCAATGCCACGGGCATTGCCATGTTCATCCTCGTTCGCATAATCAGTTGCAACATTGTCGCTGTACCATCGTCATAGTCACGAGAGGCGGCACTACTGACACGACATCCTGCAGCAATGACAAGACATGTCCTTCGAGACATTTCTAAATCCCGTCAACAGCTCAGATATGCGCATGTATGCGATCTACGCATGAGTATATCCCTCAAGAGTCGGAACTCAAGAAAAAGGGTACGTTTGCTTGCTTGACGAGGGACGCACAACTAGTGTAGCCTGGATGGATGGATGGTTGGTTGGATGGATAGATGGACGGATGGATGTGTGTGTGTGTGTGTGTCCACATATGCATGCATGCATGTAGGTGGGTAACTAGGTGTGTACGGATGCTTGCGTGTATGTTTGCAGGTATGCATGTTGACATATAGGTAGGTAGGTAGGTACGCATACATACATGGGTGGTTGTCGAAAATGAGGTCCCTTTTTGGGTCCTCAATATCTAATACGGCACCTAATATTTGGGGTACCCAAAAAGGGACCATGATTTTGACAAGTAACTACCCACATGTGAACATACATCAACCCATGGTTAAGCCCATAGGTGCCTAGATTGCCAACGACGTCGGGTCCCACGACGCAAACGGCGACTTCGGTCGCAGCATGTCTTTGTTCCTGGTTCCCTTGCTCTTTTGACCGGTTTGCCTTTCAGGAGTTGGGAGAGGGCTTTTGGTAAGCCAAAGGACTAAGGAGTTCAACATGGCAAAATCGGCAGAGTCCCCCAAGGGGCTAGTTGAGGCCTGAAATCCTTCATTGCAGAAGGTAGCTGTAGCTCGGTGGGCAGGCGCAGGATCAGCTGGCAAAGTCTGCGGGCTCAACATCGCCGGGTGTCTTTCCGGGCGCTCCCCTATTGAAATGCCACATCCAGCCACTCAGTTCTTGCCCTGGTTTGCATGTTGGGCGAAGAAGACAAGCGAAGAAAATCGTGACGAGCAAGATCCGAAGTTGGCATGCCGAGGACCGGGTGCCTTGGATTTCCTATTTCCAGTTTGCTAATGTATTGTTTTTATCTGTCGCACGGCTGCTCGAAGGCCTCAACTCCTGAAAAAAAAGAAAGCACAAAATTGGGCAGTGCTGCCTCTGCAGAACAACCCCCCTAGACTCGCCGGGATCCTCACCCCGAAAGTTCCAGCCTCTGGAACCGAAACCTTGAACCCTGAACCTTCCTTTAAAGGGATCTGTAGGGGCTACTATAAGGGTACTATCTGAACCCTCATCTCTTAGGCGAAGACCCTTGGAGCTTTAAAGCATCCTAAACCCTAAGCCCTAAGCTCCTACACCCTGAGCATCAAGCTCCAAAAATTCTGAACCCCAAGTCTCCGAAGCACGAACTTTATGCACCTTATCCTAAATCCCAACCCCATACATCCTGAGATCCGGCAGAGTCTGAAGCGTGGGCCCAATAACATAGAAGCCGTCCTAAGCAAGGAACAGGGTTCCCTTGTCCTCCCCAATCTACATGTTGGCGAAAAGCCCCAAGCCTTCCTTCATGACCAAGGGCGCGCTGTGGGGATTTCAAATCCCGAGCCCCAAAACCCACTGCCCTAGACACCCAAGCCCTAAACCTAAACGACGCAGCCGTGCTGCTACCCCTCCTGTGAATATCTCGTCTCGGTTCTTTCTACCCCGAAATCTCCTAAGTTTTGTACTGCTGACCCTAAACCCCAACCCAGGTGACGCATCCGCATCGGCCAGCCCTGGCCACCAATCCCGACGCCGTGGTGCCTGTCGTGGCCAGCGCCTTTGAGTTCAGAACCTTGTGATAGCATAATTTAGGGCCTAAATAATTACCAATACTATTGTTGGGGCTTCTTATTTTAATTATAGTATAATGGGCTCCCAAACCCTTTTCTGATTATTAAGGCCGCTATATTACAGCTTACAACAGGGGTCTGAGTATTCAGTAATACTAGTCATATATAGTCCCTATGTGATTTAGAATGACAGCCAGTATGATGGCCACCATTTGCTTTTCCCATAACTGCATCGAGGTCTGGCATTGCTCATCGGGCAGCTCCTTCCTACAGTCGCCCATGGCATGTAATCAGTTCCGTTCTTTCGATTAGCCAGCTGTATGTTGCGTAACCTATAGAGTACCAAACTCAAACAAAACTACACATAGGAGAGTCTGTTCAAGCTCCAACCATGTATCATGTATCGCCCTCTTGGCACATCAACCTCTGAACAGGCCTCAAGCCCGAATGCACAAGAGTTTCAACAGATAGCATTCTTCCCGCTTCATGCCCATAAACCCTTGCGAACGGTTATTCATGGTTTTCAGGCCACTTGAATGTGAGCCGAACCGAACCTCCGGACCCAAGAACTCGAGGCGGTGCACACTAGAACAAAAATACTTGAGCCGCAGAGTCCCAGCCCTCAACCCTAAGCGAACTACCTTAACCCCGAAGCACCTATATTTTTAAGGACATATATAAAGAAAGAATAATAAGGAGCCCTAAAAAGGTAGGTTATTCAGGGTTAAGGTAGGGCTTAGATCCCCAGCAGACTGTCCTTTTCAGGTCGTTGCGACCGACTCCCGCATGGCCCCCAATCGACTGTTTACATCAAAGCTTAGAGAAGCCGGGCAAAGTAATGTAGGGGCCGTGCAGATGACCAAACCCCCCACAATAAACTGGTCGTGTTCGATTCTACGAGAAAGGGGTCGGAACAAGTGCTAATAGTATTCCTGAGGGCCTCAGGGGTCCTCCTGTAGTATTGACCAAAGCCCTTTTCTGGTTAGGAAGGCCCCTGCATTGGATTCCTGGGTCAAGAGTTTGATGTTTCTCAGATCATAGTACGGCTTGCATTTTGGAAACGCCAGTTTCCGTTGGCTTAGTGGGTCCTTGGGCTGCATGTCCAAGATGAGTAGCTTGATGTTGTATTTGAATTGGGACGTTAGCATGAGAGTCAAAGAGCACTTGCAGAGGGTTGCCGATGGTGCAAAATTACGGGAATGCCGGAGAGGAGATGCCCAGACCTTCCAAAATCCCTTAAGTAAGAAATATACCTTAAATCATCTTAAGGATCCTACTATAAGGATGTTCCTTAATTTCGGATTTTGGGAGGTCTGGGTGACGGGCCCAGAGATCCGAAACTGATGCAACCGTGCAACCCTACAGCTCTCGAGGACCGAGGCTCAGGCTAGCTGAAGCCCCTGGAAAACCCTTAAAACCCCAGACCAGCATATAACTAGGGTGGATATATATATATATATATATACACACATATACATACATATATAAATGGGGTTCGAAAATGAAGCCCCCAAACCCTAAACTCCTGAGCCATAAGCATCCCGAAGCCGTTCCCACAAGGTCCGCACCACCTGCAGCGCTGCTTGGACTCCTTGGCCAAAGCTGAAGGCTCCACGGGCAGCAGACTTTTCGTGGTGAAGGGCTTTGGGGTTCAGGGTTTAGGGTTTAGGCTTTGGGGTTCAGGGTATGTGGATTTGCACAAGTCTTCGCCACATGCTCGACACTGTTTTAGATGGTTTCTGCAGGGCGTGCAGAGGATTTCAAGGGTTTTGGACATAGGGATGCATGGAGTGTTGGGATTCGGCCTCTAGGTTTAGGGTCACGGGTGAAGACTGCAAGATTTAGCACTGCTGCTCTGCAGGTAGGCAGCTATGTTTGAAAGAACGGCTGGGTGCTGCGAGGACCTCTCGTGCATAGGCCACCACGCGGCATCACAACCTATGTGTTTGCATTCTCGAATATGGGACTTTCCGAAAAGGGGCCCCAAAATGAGGTACCCCGAATCTTCGGAAACTCCCATATCCGTGAGGAGCTTCCGCCCTTACCCCATAGTCTCGGGCTCGCGGGGACCTTTCACCTTAAGAGAGAGTGGGAGGGTGGTTCAAGGGGGAGCTAGGGAGCATTAGATCTTGCAAAGAAAAATGTGGAGGCGAAACATCCAACTAGCGCCGTAGACTCTCTAGGCTTCTTACGAGAGGTGCAGGCAGCTGGATGTAGAGACGAATATCTTATCCGAAGCCCATGAACCCTTCTTGAACCCACCCTTAATCCCTCAGAACCACCGATTTCCAGCTGTGGGCAGAGTACCACGAAAACCCTACATCATACATCTCTTATCATCTTCCGTGCGTGGGAGTTTGTCAAATCATGGTCCCTTCTTGGGTGCCCTAAATATGAGGTGCCGTACTATTAGGGACCCGAACAGGGACCATGATTTTGACAACCACCCGCATGTCCTTGCGGTTGGCCTCTGAACCTACCTTTTTCAGGGTTTGGCTATGGGTTCCCCGATTTGCAACAAAACACTGCATCAGTGGTTTTCTGGTTTAGGATTTAGTAGGGCTTAGCATGAAGGCTTCTTAAGGATTTAGGGCTTAGGGTTAAGGGTTTGGGGCTTGGGGTTCAGGGTTAGGGCGAAGAGACCGAGAAGATGCATCCCAGCGAGGCTACGTGCCGACCCTGGTTCTGGTCTCCCAGGACCGGCGTGTGCTGGAAGTCCAGGGCAGCCACACCCGAAAAAACTTATCATTCCGATCCGCCGTGCTTATTTTGGTACCCAAATCTTCCAAGTTGTTTCATTTTTTGGTTAACGGTTTTCGGAGCCCTAACTTGTTGAACTTGTAAGCCCATGGGCCTCTTGGGTTTACTTGCGCCTAGAGAGAGACGTCTAGTAGCACCTAGTGGCTATTACTCGTTTCGACATGTCCGTTGGATTCTGTAACTCTGGTCTTAAAGCCACCCTCTTAAATAGACTGCAAGTATATAAGTTCTTGTGGTGCATGACCTGGGGAGTTGAGGGCACAACGTCCTGCTCTCAAACCAATAGATCCCTAAGCTTCAAAGGGAACGATTCAGAGGCGCATTTGTCTGTGCATGTATGTTTTTGCTTTACTTGCTGGGCATTTCTGATTTGCGAGGACCGCAGCCTTGTCAACAGTGACGGCAGCCCTAAGCCAGCAGTAGAAAGACGCACACACACACACACACACACACACACACACACACACACACACACACACACACACACCCAGACATCAACATGTGAAGGTCAGCACTGAACTCTAAGCCCTCAACCCTGAACCTGACGAAACCCTAAGGGTTGGGGGTTTGGGGTTTAGGGAGTCTTAGGTATGCCTCACCGCTAAACCCTGAACACTCCTTGTGAGGATGGTGATGGAAGGCGTGTGCGGGATGTAGCAAGGATCTCGGCTGAGGTTTGAAAAACTTGTATAGGGGCCTGAATGGGTAGAATAGGGTTGGGAGTTTAATACGGTGTGTTTTTCAAACATGAGCGTACTTGGTAGGGGTATATCCAGACACTTGTGGCGACTGCTTGGTGTACTCTGGTGAAGAAGGCATGAAGCCTCGTGTTGCAGCGTTATCGGAGCCCGTGTGACCCTGCTGCCAGTTGAAGTTTTTGGGGTTCGTGAAGGCACCACGTTGAGAGTGTCGCCAGTGACACTGCTCCCCAGGATCATGTCAGAGGGTTGCTGAATACCTTAAACTAACAAACCCTACTTTTTGTAGGTTCTGATCATAAACCCTATTCTGGAAATATAGGGATCCTACAAAAAAGTAGGTTGTGGGAGGTTAAGGTAAAGTCTTGCGGCCGGTCGTGCTGGAGAGCGGGCACGAGCCGCAGAAACTACGGAAAGCCGCAGCAGCAGTCAGGCAAGGGACGGGGGAAGGGCGATCGAAGTCAGCGGCAAAGGTTTCAGATCAAGGGCAAACAGCCGCCAGGAGGGCCTAGCGCCTCAGGACAGTCCGGAGCATCAGGAGCTCTTTGCGTGCATCGCCAGGTTGGGTTTTAAGGCACGAAGACACCTTTGGCCAGGCTCTCCCTGGACACAACGCACCTCTGGACCTTTCAGAATGCAGGGGCACGGCGCGGACCTGCTCCGGGTGGCGGGTTTGGGATTTAGGGTTTAGGTTTAGGGTTTAGGGCAGAGGAAGCGACCGTGGAGGACCTGGGCCGCCTACACATCATCGTTGGGCACCGTGGGTGGTGCACGATCCAACATCAAGACATCTAGAAATCCTACAGGATCGCCTTCATGTCAGATACTCCGGCAGCTCTTCGACGGCTTGTCGTCGACCACACTACGCACCTTGACGTCTGACATCAAGGCGATCCTGTGGGATTTCTAAGTGTAGAGAGGTTTAGACCTGAAAGTCTTGAGCATCTGTCTGCGACCCGAGAGCCTTGCCAGGTTTTTCAACCATGAACCAACAGTGCGTGATTTTAGAGGTATCTCAATCAGGGGTCCTTGCAATAAATAAGCATCCCACTATTTGCGGTCTGCGTGAAGAAGCCTGCCCTACTTTCTGAAACTGCCCTGTCATTGGATTCTGTCTGCTGCATCTCCCAAACCTCCACAAAACCTTAAACCTAAAGCCCCAAACCTTATACTCTCATTGAATTAAGCCTTCCAACTTTATCCTACCAAAACCTACTCATTTGTAGGGCCACTATAGCTGATAATTAGAACCTAACAAAAAGTAGTAGGTTATTGTAGTTCAAGGTACCATTGAAAGATCTTTCTTAGCCCTATAGAAGCCCAGTATCCTAAGCGATTGGCCTCGTAGGGGAAGCTCAGGTCATGGCCCAGGGAGTTCTCGGACATCAGCTGGACACAGGCTCGCTTCTGCTAAGCCTGTGTCCTTGAGAGGTATTTTTACAGGACCCCTTATTCCACGCCTGACCCATGTCTCCAGGAAAGAAACCTCTTGGTGAGAAGTTGGTGCCGAGCTCAGTGTGCGGTTTCTTCAGAGGCTCCGACAGCCCGAAAATTCAGGATTTGGGGAGTGTTGTATGGGGCTGACCCTAAACCCTAAACCCTAAACAAGACGCTAAGCCCTAAACCCTTACACAAAAAAAACCCTAAACCCTAAACCCTATGTCGAATAGTTTCATAAAGGCACTTAGGAGTTGATGTAGAAGAGCGAGGGCTCCATAATGTGGGTTTTGTCGGCTGTAGCACGGGGGTTTAGGGTTTAGGGTTTAGGGGTTTAGGGTTTAGGGATTTAGGGTTTCAGGTTTGGCTTCATAATGTGGTTAAGTCGGGTTTAGCATGGGCAAATTGGAGCAAGACTAGACGCTTCAAAGTTCGAGAGGGGTCCTTAGAATGATTTATTGGGAATATGGGCAGTTCTCTGAACTAGTGTCCCAGTTTAGGTCCCCAAAATAGTACGACACCGTTACAGTCATGACCCTAATAGGGAAACCAGTGCCTACAATCCTGAATCAAGGGATCCTGAAATCTTTAGTTGGTTATTGTTTGTTTCAATCTAGGCGTTTGAATTTGAGTCTTGGCGGTCTAGGGCCTATGGCAGTGTTTAGTTCAAGCTCTAGGAGCGGTAGAGTTGCAGAATTAGCTTGACACCAAAGACGTCCTGCTTCGGTGTGCGAACTTCGAAACTGAGAATGCCTTCTTTCGTCGGGGATGCCGCAGCGCTCCGGCTCACCTACCTGTAACTGCCATAACCCTAAACCCTGAAACTACCATAACTGCTACTGTTCTGGTGCGGTCCTGATATGAACCGTAGCATCGACTCCTACGGAACCCTGCGAAGAAGCTGGTGATGGTAGATGTAGGTAAACCCTACCTTAAACTACCGAACCCTGCTTTTTTGTAGGTTCCCATTATAAACCCTATGGAATTTTATAGGGACCCTACAAAAAAGTAGGTTTTGGTAGGTTAAGGCAGACGCTTCTTAAGGTACCTCTAGGGCTGCATTTGAGTGTTTCCGCCTTCAGGGTGGTCTGGTTGGGGCTGCAAGGCTTGGCGTCTTAGGGCTTCAGGTTTAAAGGGTTTTAGGGTTGCGGGGGCTTGCGGGGTTTAGTTTCTTTAGGGTTCAGCATTTAGGATTTAGGGCTTAGCGAGGTTTAGGTGAATGTATTCTGAAGCTTTATAGTCATCGAACCCCTACAGGCCTTTAGCACTAAACTTCTTGAGCCCTAGACCGTAAACCCTAAACTCTAAACCTTAAACCCTAAACCCTTCAGGCGGAAGCAAAAGCCCGGGACGTCCTAAGCCACTTTCCGCGAGGCCCTTCACTACTCAGAGGCCTTGCAGTATGCCATCGAAGGACACCTCTGCGGTTTGCTTAGGGGGTTCCTTAACGGCTGCCGTTCTGTAGGGGTTACCTGGTTTAGGGTTTAGGGTTAAAGAGTTGCTATATTGATAAGTTATATAGTTTACTTGTTCCTTGGCAGATTCTGTTGAAACTCCGCAGTGGGGTTAGTCTCCAATCCCGAGAAGCCGCACACCAAATCCTGATCCCTAAGCCCTAAACCCTAACCCCTAAGCCCTGAACCAAAACGGACCCTCGTAAACAGGCCCATACCGGCCACAGCCTTCCACTTTTCATCCTTACGGAGACCCTGAAATGAACCCTGGTAGAGCAGGGAGTTTGTGCTTAGGATGCAGCTTCTGTGAGCCCTAAACTCTCTAAAACCCTGAACCCGAAACCCCGCCTAAAAACCTAAACCCAAACCTCGGCACCGTACATTTCCGTTTGCCCTGATCTGTTTGATCTGTTGGAATTCCCCCACTGAAGAGGCTTCAAGGCCGCCAGGCAAAAGGGCATTATGGCCTAGGTTTTGTAGGGTGATCAGGTTTAAAATCAGGGTCCCAGACCCTATAAACTCTGGGGTGCTTTCTGTTCTTCCTGTAGGCTTCACACCAAGCCATCGCTCAATGCTAAGGCCTCCGGCCGGGCATTAGGAAACTTTAGGGCGCCCACACCATATATGGTCAGGCGTCTGGCGTTCCCAGCCCCCCCCCCCCCCCCCCCAATGGTATGGTCTGCTAGGGTGGGGGGGGGGGGGGGGGCTGGCGTGTGCGGACAGGGGTCGGAGCCGTTGGAGCTGTCACTGGATGGTGGGATGGTGCTGGCGGCCAGGGCTCACACGCAAGCCCTTCGCAAGCAAGCCGTAAACCCTATAACGCAGCGCGTGCCCTTGTTTTGAGTAACCTTAAGTTGTACTTCCAACCCTACACCCAACCATAAACCCCACCTAACTGCAGGCTCTAAGCCTAAAGCAGAACATACACCGCAAGTCCTCCCTAAGCCCTTGTCGACTCGAAGCGTTATACCTTGTAACCGTAAACCCAACACTCAAAAGCTTAAGCTAAACCCTAAACCCCAAAACCCCACAACCACCCCACAGGGGGAAGAGGGACCCCACACCCCACACCACAGGGGAGGGGGGGTCCCACCCTATATCCGGACCATTGACCTTTGGGGGGGGAGGGGGGGGGGGGGCCGCGGAGCGCGTGACCATATATGGCCTTGATACCCTGAGTCCTAAGAAGTCCTAAGACCTACTTACGTAAGACAGTGAGCACTAACCCCTTGCGCACCAAAACCCAAATACCCCAGTACAAAATCAGAGTTTCGCTTTACTTCAGTGCCTCCTTGCAAGGACTTGTTGTTCTCGGTTCTAGGGCAGATGGAATAGAGACATAGAGGAGCCGAAGGAGTGGCTTTCGACAGCAAGAAGCCTTGGAAAGATTTGCTTAGGCCTCTGACGCTTCCGATGTAGGAATTCTCTAGAGGCCCTGGCCCCATTTTCGTTACTATTGTCATTGCTGTTGTTATTACTCCTGTTCTAGACTTAGGTTTTTTCAAGCTGATACCAGCGCGGCAAGCTTGACATTTGTTCAGCGAGGGGTTTTTTCAGTGCAATCATGTTCTAATTCCATTTTCACCTTCAGCTCAAGCCTAAACCCCAAACCCTCGGCTCCTGTAGTTCTTACCTCACTCTAACGTCCAGCTTTCGGTGTCTACTTACCTTTGGTTAGTAGTAATAGTTATAATTAGAGTAGGGTTAGGGTTCCTTAAAAGGGGTCTATAAGGGCTACTATAACTACCATAAGGGTTAGTTTTGGTTAGTAGGGAATGGAAAAATGGTAGTAATAGTAGTTATAATTGTACCCCATTCCTCCATTCCCGACAAACCAAAGGTAAGTCTATGGGCCCATTTTTTCAGGACCTTTCAAGAAGTTTCCAGCCGTTGCCGTGCTGGCCGGGCCCTCAGGACCAATCCTGGGCAAATTCTGAAGGTGTGGGTTTAGGGGTTTAGGAGTTTAGGGGTTTAGGGGTTTAGGAGGTTAGGGGTTAGGGTTTAGGGGTTCAGGGTTTAGGAGTTTAGGGGGTTCAGGGGTTTAGGGTTGAGAGTTTAGCGCTCAGAGGTTTAGGGTCTAGGAGTCTAGGGCCCCAAACTCAGGAGTTTCAAACCAGACTGCAAGCTTGATGTTCATTTTTCATGTTAGAACCCGTATCACAAGAAGGGCCAATAAGCAAGACACCTCCAATCTCAAGACACGTTTCGGGCCGATTTGGAGACGAGCTGCTTCCAAGGAGGAGGACGTCATCGTGTCGCCGGGACCTCAAACTTCAACGAGAGGTGAGCGTGTGCTTAGGCCTTACCCAGGGGTTTCCACTTACCAAAAAAACAGTGATGTAGGTCCTGAATGCTATGCTCTGATTGGTACCAGTACCTGCTACGCAAAATCCTCTTATTCGCATGCTGGGGCTGCTGGGATTAGAGTGATTAGAGTTGGAGTTTGGGGTGAACTGAGTGACGGCAGAGAAGAGACGACGCAGTCGTAGTCGGAATTGAGGCGAGTTGTCTACAGTCTACACCTAACTGTACGATTCGTAGAGTTCCATGCCCCAAGGAGGTAGTTGAGTTGGTAGCGTAGTCCTACCTACCACGAGAACAAGTAGGCCAGGCTGTAAACCGCAAACCTAGACACCAGGACTTGAAGTCGAATTTTTAAGTCTACCTGGACCCGAAGGAGCCTACCTCTTTAGGGTTCCTTATAGTATGATTCCTTATATGAGCATCGGACAAAACCTCCGTAAGAGCTAACATGACTAGAGCGCAACCGAGATGGTGAAAAACTAGGGTCTAGTAGGAAAACCGATAGGGGCCGACCCATGTAAGTCTTCTGGCATCTTGTAGTTGATCCCTGCATAACCGATAGGGGCCGACCTGAGATCTCGGCATGAGCAGGTCGAACAATAGGTTTAGGCCGCCGCTCATATGCTTCCGTAAAGAGGTAGGTTTTCTCAAGGTTGACGGGGTTAAGGTAGACTTCAAACCCCAATCCTGGAGCTCTAACCCTAAACCCCTAAACCCTAAACACCTAAACCCCTAAACCCTAAGCCCCAATCCTGAAGCTCTGAACCCGGAGGGGGAGCCCTCCCTGACCCTGGCAGGGCGGACTTCTTCCTCTTCTTCCAACAACTTCGGGAGGCCGTGACGAGGGATCAGCGCTGCCGAAAGAGACTCTAAGATCGCTTTTAGTTCAGGAATTTACCTTAAAGGGCTCCTTAAAGGGATCTATGAGAATGAAGGAATATGTACCCTAAGTCATGTCAGGACCCTTACGATAATTTAAGGTATAACTTCCTTAATTAGGGGATAATATGGAGTCTCTGAGTTCAGGCTTCACTTCATCAAATAGGGTTTGCATCCCTTTCGAGGCGTACAAAAACTGCAACAAGATGTTCTGCCTTTTCATCGGGTAAGAAGGATCCTACTGCTTGAGGTCTTCAGTAAGGGGCGGCTCCGATTTTTGAAACTCACAGTTGTACCGGGCAGCTTTGATGCGGCTGTGTTTCTTAAGATTTTGGGGGTCTGGGTTCCCCAGCAGTCTCCCTTTTTTCTTTTGAGAAAAAAGTGGGGGGGCAAAGGGCAAACTTATTGGGGGGCTTGGGAAACCTACAGGGGAGTGTAAGACGCAGTGGAATGGGATTGATTTCGAGGCATTCGACTCGGTTCAGGCTTTCGTGCCTTGGGGTGACGTGTGGAGGCTTGGGCACAGGGCTTTGGGCCGCGTTCTTGGGCTTGCTCCTTCGGAGGACGGGTTAACCTTGCTGGGCAGACCCTGCAAACGTTAAACCAGTTAGGTCAGAACTGAGTTCTGTTCGCCTAAGTATAGATTTGGCAGACTTTCTTCCACTTTGGACTGAGAGGACACATCAGTCGTACACCCTAGGGTGCTTGGGCTTGTGGTGGTTCTGGGAAAGCTGTATCAAGCACGAGAGGTTATTTTGGAGTTGAAAACTGAGGACGCCTGACCCTTGTAAGAATACGCATGCGATGACGAACTCGCAGTTTCTCGAAGATGCCTTCATTTTTCAAACACCATGACCGTGCCATCCTATCTATTTCGATCCCTGGATAATGTTTTTTCAGGTTCATACAGTTACACCATAGTTTACACCACAACCTTGTGCAGGGCCAGCACAGAGGGGCCTGCATGCCTGCACGGTCGCAGGGTGTAAAGTTTTGGCATGGCGGGTTCCAGCAGAGGTGTTGGGTGTACTTCATATCGGTTGTCTCTCTGATTTGGACGACTCTTTCGCACACTGAAACTGCGTACGCCGCTCTTATGACCAGCATGCCCCTCAAAGCCTCAATCAGGCGTAGCTTAGAACTCCTGCAGATGACACACCACGAAGAGCGCAAGATACATGCCTGAATACTTGCTATTCTTCCTTCGGGCTCCTTAAGTTTAACAATATCATACTATATACCGTATGATGTGCTGTAAACCCCTGTTCTAATTGTATATAAAGGCCGTTGTATTGTACTCTTGGGATGCACGCGTGTACGGCGGAGTGTCTGGCTAGATGAGCATGGACCCTGAGTCCTGAAGAAGCTCCGGGTGGGGCCCGAACAACTTTAATTTCAACACCCACACAAGGCTCGAAATCTTACTGCAATAATAAAAAAAAATTAGTAACTAGTAACAAGAAGAAGAACAATACAACAGTAATAATGATATACTTATACTACTAAATGCTACTGATATAGTAGTAATGGCCCTTTTGGATCCCTGAAAAAGAAAGGTCTTAGTGGAGGATGACTCCTTGCTCTGCGCCCGGAGCTCATTCGTTCCCGAGCATTAGCCAGTTGTGAGGAGCCGGGGCGATTTCGTCTTGAAGGTTCAGTGTCACCTGAGGCTGAAAGGTCAAGGGTCGAGGTTGGGTTAGGGCTTGGGGGTGAGAGCTCGGACCTGTCAAACGTATTGTCCACGAGTTTGTCAGGTGTTGGAAAGTAGGTGGTTCCTGAAGTTATGTCAGTATTTCAGAAAGGGTCGTGGGACATGTTCCTTGGGTCGTAAGCATGATGTTCGGTCACGGGTTTTGGTGGGGGTCGTCTCGGGCGGCAGCTCGTGAGTGGGTTGGGAGCAGCTCGCGAACAGGTGAGAAGCGGGGTCGGTTTCGGAGACCCTGATGGCAGGTGTTTCCAAGCCACTCCCGAGCTATCGCCAACTCATCTCATAGAATATACATACATATATATATATATATATATATATATGTCATATGTCCACATATATACATGTATAAAGATGTGTACATATATATATATGTATATATACATATGTATATATATATATATATACATATATATATATATATATATATGTGTATAGTCTGAACACCTCCGCACCGAAGACCAGAACAGACCCCTGATTTGGGGGAGCCTTCTTGCAAATTGTGCGAGCACTGGGTGGGCAAAGGAAAGTTTCAAAGTCCGAACCACCTGGAGATCTGAAAGCGGAACAGAGCATCCTCATGCCTTTATGATACCCTAGAAGCCTTCGCCCTTCACTTCATGCCCTACTAAACCCTATTGTTCAGGCCGTGTGCCTGGAAAAACTGGGGGGGGGTGGCGGATGGCTCAGGGAGAGCACTACACTTACCTTTCGTTAGTAGGGAATGGAGGAATGGGGTACAATTATCACCACTATTGCCACCATTCTTCCATTCCCCACTAACCGAAGGTAGGTACAGAGGGTTCTGCAAAGAGATGGAGGCTGGGGAGTTGCAACACTCACCTCCTAGATTCTAGGTTGGTAGTTTTTTCAAGAATTAAGGTTCCTTTTGTGGTAGCCTAAATAGTAGGTGCCGTATTATAAATAGGGATCCCAAAAGTGACCATAATTTTGACAACCACCCAGGCGAATATCATAAGCCCTGCAAATCCCTGAGCTCTATGCGCTAACTTCCACATCCCTGCACGGAGATGCACTTTAGATCCAAACTATGAACAGCTGAGGTCAGCGCATGGAACGAGGCTGCTCGCGGGCCTTACGCTGCCCGACGGTCACGGCTGCTGCGTCCGGGCACCAAGATTCCACAGTTGAGGGATTCTGAGGTCTGTGAATTATGGCATGGGTGTACTTACCTTGGGTTAGTAGGGAATGGAAGAATGGTAGTAATAATAGTTATAATGTACCCCATTCCTACATTCCCTACTAACCAAAAATAAGTGTAGCGGATCGGTGGCTTTACCTTACGGTTGCGCTTGGAACCCAGAACAAGTGCCACGTTCGTTTATCTCCCGTCTGAATACTGTCGAAGAATCCATCATGTTATGTGCCTGTCTACATCTGTTTACATGTGCCCACCTGTATTTAATTTATTGTTCTACATAGTCTGTATTGGCATCTGTGTACTCGTATGTGGGTTTCCGAAAGCAGGGGACCCTAATTTGAAAGACCCCCAAAAAAGGTACCCGAATTTTCGGAAACCCCCATGTATGACTGCAAGCTGTGTCTGTCTTGTTGTAGCAGAAGATTCTGCACCATGTCCTCATTCTCATACGGGGTAAGCACACGGCTAGCATCTACGTTTAGGGCCAAAGATGTGCACAAAGGGTCCTGCAACCACGGGTTCGGTTTGGGTTTAGCGAACCTTGGGCTTAAGGTTCGGGTCAGGGCTCCGGGTTTTGGATACAGTTGATGATGGAAATCCTGCATTACCCATAATAAGGAATATACCATAATTCCCTCCTTAAGGTAATGCAGGATTTATATCATCAACCCTAAACCCTAAACCCCCTATAGATCCCTTAAAGGAGCCCCTTAAAGGTACCCTTACAGATCCCTTTAAAAGGAGTCCTAGGATTTCTATCATCAACCGTATGAGGCCTCAGCCCTGAACCCTGAGCTGTAAGTGCGAAGTATATAACCCAGAGACTCCAATATCCCTTAATTAAGGAATATTCCTAAAATCATATTAGGGATCCTACTACAATTTAAGGTATATTCCTTAATTAAGGGATATTGGAGTCTCTGGGAAGTCGCTGAGCCTGCGCCTCTCTTCCCACAGGCCCCAGATCCCCAACGCCAAAACCCTAAAGGGAACTCCAGAAAGTTGGAATATGGATTAATGGTAGGATCCCCTATAACTTACCTTAAAGGGGGTTACGATAATGATATTCCAACTTTCTGGCTTCTACTTAAAGCCCTAAACCTGAATCCCGAATCTTAAGCCCAGGAGGCCGAAATCATCAAACCCTACTGAAAGATCACTTCTCAAAGTGCAGAAGTACAGAAACCTGCGAGGATCCTTCAAAAAAGTTAACGCTAAAGCACAGCAAGGGGGTATCCACCTCTACCCTAGGGCCCCATGGTAGTTCCTTTTGAGGGTTCATGTTTAGAATCCCATGAGGTAATCCCAAAAAGGAACTACTATGCGGCTTCTGGGTAAATACCGCCGTTGCCTTCTTGTGCCAGGCGTCGACAGCTTCCCGGGCACTGCCTGGATGTTTGCTTCCCAACGGCTGATGCGCCCGAAGCCCAGAGGTGAAACCCCTGGTAATTCCTGAGGGCTCCGGTTACCTAAATAACCGTAGTATAATGGGATATTGGGTTATTGCATATCATTTGGTTAGTTCCTAAGCAGCTTTGCTCATACTCAGAACTAAGCGGAAGGTCGAGGTTTAAAGGCGAGTTTAAATGGGAGTTTCCGAAAATAGGGGTACCTTATTTTGGGGTCCTTATAATCGGAAGCCTACTATTAAGGGTACTGTATTAGGGTCCCCTATTTTCGGAAACTCCCAAATTACACTCAACCCCTAAGCCGTGGGAAGGATTCTGGGTATTCGGAGTCTCAGTGCCACGGATCGCTTCTTGGCTGGGGAGGGAGGGGCTTCTGTTACAGTAAACCCCATAAAGTTGGAAACCGGATTGAAGCCAAATAGTGCTGGGATTCCCTATAAATTTCTCTCTAAGGATTGCGGTTATGGGGTTTTACCTTGTGGGCTTCTACTGTAGACAGAGAGCAAGAGATGCCTGCCTCCTGCAACCAGTGATCCGCCCTGGCCCCACAGAAATGTGCTACAGGGGCCTAAATAATTCCCTATGCCAGTTTTTGGGCGGTCCTTGTTATAAGTATATAGTATAATATGCCCCCAAACCCTATTCTAATTATTCAGGCCCCTATAGTACCTTACAGCTACAAAGCACTTTGCTGTCCTGCGACTTCCGTATCCCCCGAATAGTATACTCCATGTCTGATACGGTCTTGACATTAGGGTTTAGGGGTTCTTTAATTAGGGTGTAATTGGGGCCCATAACATAGGGGTCGGAATATTTCTTGCAGCTAAGACGAAAAAGCCCCGAAACCAATCTCCAGCTACTAAGGTTTCTTTTGTGTAGTAGCCCTTTTTTGCAACCCTTTTAGATCGCTTTAAAGGAAGCCTACTGAAATTAGGCCCTTACATGGCATCAACCAGCATCCTACAGCCTCCTCCTCCTCCGCGAACAACCCGGCCCTCAAACCTGGGAGCGACCTGCATCCCGGGTTTGGAGTACCATAATTCTTAGAAATATATATATTTTTAAAATTTTTGGTTATTATTATAATTATAATCCCTAAAAAACAGCTAAAATTATAATTTGTGCAAGGGTTCTAAGTTCAGTATAGAATTGAATACTTTGTTTTGGTACCTGTTCCTGAAAGGAACCATTGAGAAATAAAAGTCAAATATATTTTCCTCCCTGGTTCCTTCAAAGTCCAGGCATGCTTTCCGGGTAAAGCCGAAAAGTCGTAGGAGTTTGAGGTTCAAGGACTGGAGAACCACCCTCCTTACTTGCAGAGTGGACTTCATGAATCAGAACAAGCAGGCCTCAACAACTGAAGGTGCATTCCTTGATGAAAGGGCTATTTATATACCAGAAATGTTGCAGAACCCGTATACAAACCTTCTCATAGCCTAACCCGAGACCTTTCAGCCTAAACCCTACCCCCAAAAAACCTCAATCCTAAACCTTGTACCTTAAATCAAAGAAACCCTTAGAGATATAGAAAAGGGGACTATACTTCCTTTTATAAGCCTTAGTGGGCCCTCCCCCTACCTGTTAAGGGTCCCCTAAGCAAGGAGTTGCTACCCGAGGTGACTACTTGCCCCGTTGGCCACGGAACTCCTGGGACAAACACCTTCGCCGGCTTCTCAAAGACCCAGAAAGTCATTGTATCAAAGGGCTCTTAGGGTTTAGGGTTGTGGGTTAGTCCCAAGTTAGAATCCTGATATAAGGGATCCAAGGGTTGGCTTCGGGTTTATAGGGTGTCTGGGTTTAGGATGCTTAGGGGTGTAGGGTTTGGGGTAAAGGGCTCCTTATACAAGGGATCTTTCATCCCACCTTCACCACCTTCTCAGAGAGCCGGAAGGTCAGTGCAGGGTTCTAAGGGGGGAAGCTACACGGAGTACTATAATGGGTTCTATTTCAGGGGCCTTAAGAACTAGCAATAGGGTTTTGGCATATCTTCATGTACATATATAATGAGAAACCGTAAGCAGCAGTATGAATAATTACTCCGACCGCCGTGGTTTTCTTAGGGCTTTGGGGTCTTATTCGGGTGAGTGTGCGGTTATGGGTTTAGGCTTTTGAGGCTATTGGGGTTTTAAGGTCTTGGAGTTGGGGTCTAACCACAAACGAATCGAGGGCTTAGGTGTTCAGATGGTGAGAATTCTGGATAATTTGGCGGAGTTGTTTATGGCTTTCGAGCTTTCGAGTTGAATTTTTGCAGGGTGTCTGAACTGGTTGTGAATGGTGTTGCGCTCTGACTGTCTGTCGGAGTACATGGCGCGTTTGTATCGTGTTTTAGGGCATACTGTGTTAAATGTGCGTCAAGACCCAGACGGAGGGGGCTACTTATCACCGTAGCATATCTGAATGACCACAAATGCTACCTTCAAGCACCACGCCCAATTTTTGTGCGGCAAGGCCTGCATGACATGCCAGCATGTCAACTGCTTTAAGCCAAAAATTGGCTTTTCTTGCTTGAGTTGCAACTGGCCCTCCAAATCCCCAAACCCAACCCTAAACCGCACCGACGTGTAGCCGAAGCTGCTTAATATAGTGGCCTGAATAATTACCTATACTATTGGGTGGGGGTCCTTATTATAATTATAGTATCATGGGCCCCAAAACCCTATTCTAATTATTAAGGCCCCTACATTATCCTCCCTGAGGTAAATCGGCCGGTCGACAGGGAAGACAGCACCCGCCTTGGCTTGGTGGGTTTGGGGCATAGGGTTCAGTTCAGTTTGGGTTTAGTGTTTAAGGTTCTGTAAGATTTTGGCGGGCTTTCTACAGGTTTCTGGCTCGCCCTAGTGATACGAGGGGATCTCATTTTACACAGCACTGACGGTGTTAGAACGTGTATAGAATGTACGGGCGTGCGCAGTTTCTGCTACTAGCATGCCCCGAACGGACCCAGAACGGCCTTGGGTGAGAATCTTTAAGCGTGTGGGAGTTTCCGAAAATAGGGGACCCCGACAACGTACCCGAATTAGTAGGATCCTGACAAAAGAGGACCGCAAAGTAAGGTACCCCTAATTTTCGGAAAGTCCCATACAGGTTCGAATTTGTGGAATCATTTCTAAAAGATCATGTCCGAGTTGTCTCTGCTTGGCAATTGTTTCCTCATACATTGATGTCTGATACTCAGGGTGCCCAAACCTCTAAACTAAGTCCGAAAACCCTCTAAAAACCACAAGCCCGAAACCCATGAAGCCCTAAACTCAAAACCCCAAAAAGGGGGGGGGGGTTTCTGCTAAATGTCAACGAAGAGCTTCGAGTGGCTTAGCACGAAAGTGGTGATGTAAGTAGGTCGAACTTGGAGATCCCCCAATACCCTTTAATTAAGAAATATGGGAGTTTCCGAAAATTAGGGGTACCTTATTTTAGGGTCCTCATAATAAGGATCCTACTATTTAGGGTACTATATTAGGGTCCCGTATTTTCGGAAACTCCCATATGGCTTAAATTGTATAGGGCTTCATATCATGATTTAAGCTATATTCCTTAATTAAGGGGTATTGGGCACTCTGGGAAATAGCAGAGGTGTAGAAGCACGCTCTACTGGACACGATCGCCTTAAGACTTGTAGTACCCCTGTTGGTTTAAGTATTCCTGATCATAGGACCCTGGGCCTTCATGATAACACGTAAATAGAGCCAGCAAGCTTAACGAATTGCCAAAATACTGTGTTTCTTTATGAGGGTCTGTTGTCGGTGGTGGTTCACATCGAACTTCACCTGCAAGTAGTATATTTCTGCATAGGGGTCAAATCTGACAACACGTCGTGAAAATTAGAGCTCGAAGCTGCGGGCGCAGCACCCTGGCCATAGTTGATGTTCCTCATTCCTTTTCTGCCAACAAGCAGTTGTTGCATACCGTCCGGAAGGGACCTTGGCAAGGGTCCCTGTAACTTCTAGTTCCTACCCTAAGGCTGCACAGTTCCTTTTTGGTGTTCATATTGAGAACCTTATAAGGTGATCCCCAAAAGGAACTACTGTGCAGCCTCTGGGTAGTTAAGGGCACGGTTATGCAACGATCTTCAACCTCAGACACCCAAAACCGCCTAATGGCCTAATTAATACCTGTGCAAGGCCACTGTAAAGCCCTTAAAAAGCACTGTAACGCAAATAAAAAAGCTTCATGAGCATCAAAAAGCCGTAGCTGTCTAGCATATTCCCTTAACTTCCCTATTCCTTGAAGTGTGCCAACTGCTTGGCGGACATCAAAAAGGAGCTTTAAAAAAAAACAAATATATATATATATATATATATATTCCTTCGAGATCCAAGGTGCATAGTCCCCGAGGTGGCTCGCGCCCGGCGCATCGGCGAAGGGCACGTGGATGGCCGGGTATCGGCAAAGACGTCGTGGGGCCCAGATCGGCCTTTAAGGTGGTTTCGTGCTGGGTTTTAATTTTCCTAAGGACCCCCCAAGTATAAGTACCCTCTAATATGCCCCAAATACCCGCGACTAAGGGCCATAAAGACTTTATTACAGGGCCCGCGGGGGGTCCTGGTAGGGTTTAGAGTTTAGGGTTTGGGGTTTAGGGGGGTTGAAGGCTTCAGGTCTCCAAGTTCTTTGCCGCTCTCCAGCGTAGTTCCTTTCTCGGGTTCACCTCTTTGTGGTCTGGACCCGGTAACAGTTACAAGGGGGCCAGGTATGTAACAATCAACGAAAGAACTGGATTGAGATGATAGCTCAGGTCGTGGGCCATTACATCTCAGTTATGGTGCCTGTGAAGAATTGAAATCAGCTAACACACAATTGGCACCTATATTGAACCCTACAAAGCCTCATCTTATATAACCATGAAAAAGTGTTACGTTAACCATCCCATGGCCCTTTACCCAAAGTCCGGAAAGCGAAAACTAACCCTCAAACCCAAAAACCCTGAAGCCTTAACCCCACACCCAAAGTCTGGAAACCTGAAAGTTGTCGCCGGAGATTTGAGATTCCCCGAGACTCGACACCTTAATGGAGTTCTTACGATCTTCAATTGGTAGAGCGTATTTGGGGAAGATAAAGGCTATTTGGGGGGGGGGGGGGTGGCTTCTAGGTTTTCAATATACCTCAAGTTGTGGAGTTTAGGGGTTTGGTGTGTTTCAAGGGAGACGGAATATAGATTCCTGAGTTCGGCGTCTCCGTGTTCCGAGACTAGTCTGTCTCGGGCATCTGGGTGCCAGGACCCAGCAAGGTATCCCCAGCCCTCCCCCTAGACATTCGGAAGCCCTAGACCTTGAACTGTAACCACTTAGGCAAACCCTGAACCCGAATCGCTAGCAGTTAAGTAACTAGGCCCAAACTCCTCAAGCCCTGCCTGAACACACAACCCCAATTCTGCGTAGAAGCCCTTTCGAACCCCTACACCAGTTGAGGTACACGCAACAGTCGGCGGAGGTGTTCGTAAGTCCTCGCCGGGACACCCAAGACGGATGTTGACAGCTTTGGGTTTAGGATGCTTAGGACAAGGGCTGCCACAAGTTCGAAAGGATTGACGAGTAAAACGTCGGGTTGTAGGCCGCCCGTACAGCTTGAAGCTGCAGACCTTCAAAAACAACGCCGCATTTGTAGAAAGGAGGAGAAGCACAGAAATCCGATTCTGACGGTGTCTTGGCGATGTAGCCAACACAGGGAGTGAGCTTGTTGAATTCCGACTTCAGGCTTTGCTAGGTTTGGTTTTACTGGACTCTTGTTAAAGGGTTTAGTTCAAGTTACCATAGTAATGTACAGAAACCTATTATTTACTATAGATCCCTAGATCAATTATGGTAACTTGCTTTAAACCCTTGAAGAAGAGCGTGTGCGGATCTCTCAGGATGTTCTGCTGACAATGTTGAACATCGGGGTCTTGATCCGGGCTTTGGAGTGGCAGTCCGTCGATCTGTTGAAGCTTTTCTCCTCACTATAGGGGCCGAAGTAAGGTTCCTTTACAGGGGTCTGTAAGGGTTACTATAAGGGCCATTATAAGGATTTAGTATCGGGAAGTTGAATAATTGCCTATATTTTCTTGGGGGTTCCTTATTCTGATCATAGTATAATGGGCCCCAGAAACCCATGCCCCTACATTATTCACACTTCCATTGCATGTTGCACCGGATCCCAGCATGCCTTTGTGTGTGTGTGTGTGTGTGTGTGTGCGTGTGCGCGTGCATCTTCGTGCAGTTTAAGGCTTAAGGTCCTGATGCTGAACATCACACGCCATATGCACAAAGATCCTTCACCCCTCTACTCAAGCCTGAGCACCCGAGGCCAGTACGCGAGGCCCTGGCATTCTTGAATCTGTTGCTCGTACTACTCCCGGGAACCCTGAGACTCTATGAATCAAGAGCGCAACCACGGAGCCCAGTATTCCTTTCCTATAGACCCCCAAGGTAAAATAATGGCCCAAAACCTATAAAAGGCTATTACTCTACATACTCTAAGGGTCCAGGTACACTAAACGTACTCCAAATTTCTCGCGGGATTCTGAACATGATGCACGGCACATTCCAAAACTTACTCAAAGCGCCCATCCGTACTAGAACCACACACAGTCCCCTCCCCCCCAAAAGGGCCCATATAGTACCCGTAAACAGGCTCTTCTGGTACCCTTACAGTACCAAGAAAAGGCCCCTATATGTATATATATATATATATATATATGGTCATATATATATATATATATACCCTTATGGTACCTTGAAAAAGCCCCCCCATAATAAAACAAGCCCCCCCCATCTTATGATAGTAGCCTTAAGAGGCCCCTGTATGCCCTAGTGGTGCCTTTGACAAGCCCCCGTATCAATGATGATACTTCCTAAACCCTAAACCCTAAACCGCTTACCCTTAGATGGACCCCTATGTACACGCATTCAGGGGAAGAGGAGCTGGCCGAAGCAGCAAGGGACCCGACGCGGTGTTGGGCTTTGGGTTTCGGGGGTTTTGGGGGGCTTCGGGTTTAGATGGGTTCCGGGTTTAGATGGGTTTAGGGTTTAGATGGCTTTAGGGTTTAGATGGGATTGTGGTGTATGGCGGGTTTAGGGTTTGGGGATTACGGCTTCGTTTGAGGATGTTGGGGGGGATAAAGGCTTGTGGGGTCGAGGGGTTGGGATTAGGGCGTTTGGGGTTTAGGGTTTTGTGCTCGGGGGGATGGGGGCTTAGGGCTTTGATTTGAGGGTTTGGGATAGGAGCGGTCTTGCGGAATGGAGTTTAGTACATTTTTGGCCTCAGATTCTGTGGGTCAGGTTACTAAAGCGCAGTAGGTGTTTATGTAGGGCTCAATGTTTCCGGATACAGGGTTTGAGTTTAGGATTTATGGCTACGATAAGGTTTAGAGTTTAAGTTTAGGAGTTGCGGCATACTCATTTTTTGTCGAGCGCAGACTACCCAGCTTCTCACTTTCGGATTCTAACCAGAAGGATAGGTCCTTGAGGAGGTGGTTTCGCAGGGGGGCATGGCTACTTTTGGAGGGTCAGGCTCACGGGCGTAGGGCCTGTTAGAGTCACATTTAGTGCTTAGGGGTTAGGGTTTAGGGTTTTAGGGGTCAAGCGGCAGGCGTTTAGGCTTCGGGCAGGATCGTGGTTTTGACGGCTTCGGTCATCTGGACATGGACCGACAACGTCTATGAATGAGGAAGCTCTCATAAGAACAGGCTTTGAACCCACGGGTACCACGCACAAGGTCGGACCCACTATGATGCCGGGCGTCTTGTAAGCGGCGTATGATCTTTTTTCTCTGTGAAGTGATGCGCGTGCTTGCGGATTGCCTAGAAGATCATTGGCCAGTCAAACAACGGAAATAATGTTAGGAAGTCCGAGGTGCATGGCAGGGTTTCTTTTAACAAGTACCCTGTTCCAAACATAGGGCTTCAGTAGTAATTTCAATCGGGTTTGTTTGGCGTCTATACTGTAAATATGAAGATGAACTCCTTTTTAGCTACCCAGCTTCATCCCTACTGTTCGCACCTTGTGGTACAAGATGAAAGAAGCCGAGTAGCCGAAACAAGGAACCGAATGGTAGAGTGTCGGCACAGGTCGGTGCTGTCATGCAGACGAAGCCTCTATTGGGTGGTTGTCAATATTAGGGTCCTGTTTTAGGTCCCTATTATAATACGGCACCTATCATTTAGGGTACCCCAAAAGGGACCCTAATTTTGACAACCACCCAAATGACCTCCCGAGAAGCCTGCTGCACTCATCACCCGGAAGGCAAAACAATGAAGTGGGACACGGAGCTAACGTAGGGGCCTTAATAATTAGAATAAGGTTTGGGGCATATTATACTATAATCATACTAAGGAACCCCCAAAACCCCATTCTAATTATTGAGGACCCTACATTAATTGCAAAAGACTGGAGGACCTTCAACCCTACACTACGCCACACATCATCCGAACTGCTTTACTAGGATCGATCCGTTTCGCCGAGGAACTTGGGGCAGCTACGCTGAAACTGCGGCGCGAGGCGCGCTAAAGGCTTTTTCGGGGAGGACTTATGTTTGGGGTTTTGCGGCAGCACATATGGCCCTGCACCCTAAAACCTATAACTCCTAACGCCCCAAGCCGACGACCAACCTGGAACCGTATCGGAACTGTATCCGTCCAAAAACATCCAAACCTTACCTTTGGTTAGTACGGAATGGAGGAAAGGGGTACAATTATAACAACTGTTCATAACTACCATTCTTCGATACTAACCGCAGGTAAGAAACCTGCTCTGTCCCCAACGTCCTTCGCCAGGCCTATGCCGAGAGCTTTGCCGGCGAGCTGCAGCGGGCCGCATTGGCTGGTCCCCCGGAGAGGGTGGAGATGAGTAGTCGTGCCAGGGTTTCGGATTTAGGGGGCATCCGTCAATCTCGCGGCTACCTGAAGTTTGCTGCTTTAGCGAAGCTGTGAGGGATTTAGGATTTCAGGCTGCCCTAAACCCTAAACCCTAAACCCTGGAACCCTAAACCCCCAAGGCTACGGGTGCCTGGGAGAATGCGCTTCTGAAGGCCAAACTCCTGGGGTGGTCACATATACTTCGATCTAAGGCCGTGTTGGTTCCGGGTCGTCTCCGGATACCACTACTTGGGGGTTCATGGGTAGTTATACATGGGGTTATAAGTCCCCTAATAGGGGTTATAACCATAGTTACCCGAATTAAAACCCACTGATAACTACCCATGAACCTCCAAGTATTCAATATTCAGCTTCCAAGGCACTCAGCACTACCTCCACGAACCTTATCTGGGTAAGGCTGTGGCACTTTTGCCTTTTTGCCCGAAGACTCCCGATCCCTCCGTGGTTTTGAGCACTGTCATCTTTTCAACATGTTCCTCAATATGCCCGCAGACCTCAATAAGCATGGAGATGCCCGACAGCAATCCCGCACACTACCCTACAACGATCCTTTCACAAAAGCTGCAGGCCCGAAACATCCAAACCCTAAACTGCAAACCCCTGAACCTGAAATCCTAAACCTACACCCTAAACCCCAAACCCCTAAAGCCTCAAATCCTAAACCTCAAACGGCACATGCCCATCTGCAGCCGCGCATGCTCGGACTTGCGCAGCAGCATGCGCTTTTCTTTGTGCAGGCCCTACGTATTATCCAGGCTGGGCTTCGGGTTATTAGGGTTTGGGGTTTAGGGCTTAGGGTTAGGGTTAGGGTTAGGTACACCTACCAAAGAGATCACAGTTCACTAATGTAGGAACCTGATTAAGAAACCCTGGCCCTATAGGGATTCATATAAGGAGCCCGAATAAGGACCCGGGGTTTCTCAATCAGGTTCCTACATTACCCGAATTACCCCTGACTGTTTTCCTGGATCTTCTTCTCTACCAGCAAGATACTAGACTCCGGCCATCACAGTAAACCTAGACCCGAAACCCTCGCCATGAAAGTAGACAGCTTGTAGTAGGGGGTTGTGGAGGTAGCGTGCAGGGTTTTGGGACTCTGCCGAAGTTTAGGGGTGGGGTTTAGGGTTTAGGGTGGCTAGGATTTGGGCTTACTTAAGGTTTAGGGTTCAGGGTGGGTAAGGTTTGGGGTTCGAACTTGGGATTGCGGCTTGCTCCTCGTCAAGGCGCAGAGATGTGGGTCGGTGTGAGGCAGTCGGACGTGAGCCGCAGGTCCTGGGCGAATCCCATCCCTGAGCTTTATTATCCATAGAATTTGAAATCTATTCTACATTCTGAAAACCCTAAACCTCTAAACACTAAACCCTGAAGCCCGAGCATCGCAGGTTTTTTGGGTTCCTTGTCGGCTGCAGAGTCTCAGAGTTCCTGAACCGTCTTCCCAAGCTTCCATGTTTTTGCATCTTCGGGTGTCGCGATGCGGGTCTGGGGGCACTAGACGATCCGTGCCAAAACATGACTTATGGTCAGCATGAGCTCCGAAGCCCATTGACGTAATGAACCCTACTTTAGTCATTGTGGCCTGTATCATGGTCCCGAAATTTCAGAACTCCGCCTCTTTGCATTGCTTCTAGACCTCGACCCTCCATCTACCCTCTATTAAACCCTAAATGCCCACTATTTGGGACCATGTACCCCTACTTGAGGGCACAAGGAGGGTCCTGGTAGGTCTATACCCTTAATATACCATTTTTTTACCCATTATATATCCCATTATAGGGTAGGGGTCCCCATTAAGGGTCCTGGGAGGTGGCTCATGATTTGGAGATGGCTTTGGCTCATGGCTGCCGTGGACCAGGCCCCGGGAGTCCCGATGCCAAGGTTTACTTAAAGGGCTCATTGAAGGGCTCCTTAAAAGGGATCTAGAGGGGTTCCTTAAAGGGATCTGTAGGGTTTAGGGTCTACTGTCTACTTAAAGGATCACGGAGTGGTTTGAGTGCTTTACGTTAGGAGGGGCCCCCACCCTGTAATAGCGGCATAGTAGGAATATAATCGGGCCCTAACATCATCCTTATAGTCACTATTGCAGGGTGGGGGCCCCTTCTAAGCTTTACGTGCTTTTAGGTTGAGAGTCTTCCCGCGGCTCCAGCTACTTAACACATGCTACTGGGACAAATCAACATAGACCTATACACAGTCACATCCTATGCGGGCAAATGGAGCCATAGTCACGAATAGTGTGTCCAGGATGCGTTTTTTTCACATTCTCCATGCCGACTGAGTAGGACGGCAGCGACGACGATATCGCTTGAGACACATAGCCCCATGGCTAAATGAAAGGATAGGAAGGCGAAAAATGCAGTATCTGTAGGCTGAAGAGGCAGATGACATGAGGGTCTTGAGGTGCTTGCAAGAACCAATTGCTGTGTTTCCTGATCCTCCGGTAGCGTGGAACATTTCAGCATGCACAGCTTCGGCTGATTGCTCTGACGAAGCCAGCGACGGGAGGGGTGTGCCTTGATATTCAGTCAGGAGGATGCGGAGTCGTGCTGTAAACCAGTGAGCCCTAAATCCTGAGTAAAACCCTGAAGCCCTATCGCAGCCTGAAAGGAACGCTAGAGGAACCCCTTAACCCCTCTAGTTACTCTTAGGTCATAGAATCATCCCCTACCCCTTTGTTAAAGGCCGATTACATAGAAAGGTATAGGTACCCTTCCTATACGCTGTGTTCCGACCCCCAACGCCCAAAGCCGCAGCCCTAAACCGTGTGTTCCGACTCAAGAAGGCAGCCGGAGCCGAGCCTAAAACCAGCTTCGTCATCGCTGCAGTGCCCCCGCTCCACTTTGGGGGGGGTGGGGCTTCGGGTTATGAGAAAGGGGCTTAGAGGTTTAGGGTTTAGAACACGGTTACATGTTTAGCGTTTCGGCGTCAGGGTTTTAGGCTTGAAGGTGTAGTTTGGGGTTTAGGATTCATTTGGGGTCGAGGGTTTAGGATCAACGGTTTTCTGTGTGCGTGTGTGCGTTGTCGGTTGATGTATCTTGTGCTGTTTGACCCTGAGAGGGGTTTCTTCAAATCAGAGGTGCGGTCCCTGCAGCACAGTGCACAGGACTAGGTCTCACAGAGCTTTTGGGGTTTAGAATGTTTAGAAGATGAACTGGTAGAGTAGCGCGGTTTCACCCGAGCTCCTCCCTGCGATGTAGGGCTTTGTCGAAGAAGGTGTGTCTTTTACATGGAGAAGGTGATGCCACAAGGTTTTGACCGGGTCAGGCTTTCTCCCGAAGTTTCGGTGTGCTCCCAGGAATGCACAGGGGGTCTCCAGAAAGGTTTGCAGTTTACCCGCCTGTTTGCTAGGCTTTGTGTGAGTTCAGCATAACGGCCGGCAGATTAACACGCGACTTCGCACATCCTTTACAGAGCTTGTCTCGCGTGCATGAAAAACTCGCACCCTGTCTATTCCCTCCTAACCACTAAAAGCCCTACTCTTCCCAAGGTTCTCCCGAATCCTATCTTCACCGACGGCATGGGGAGCAGACCGGAACCCCTATTTCCTAAGTCATCCTAACCGAACCTCTGAACCCCAATCCGTCATCTAAGACTCAGAACCGCATACACCCTTCACGCCGGACCCAAAACGCTGAAAGCCTCAACCCTACTTGGAGGTTCTTGGGTTATAAATGGGGTTTGTAACTATGGTTGCCACCCCTATCCCAACCCCCTGACCCTTAAAGCCCAAACCCCAAACCCCAAACCCTAAACCCTAAACCCTAAACCCTGACCCTTAAATCCCAAACCGCAAAAAACCCTAAACCCCAACCTAAAAGGCTCGAAAGCTCCCCCGAGGATGGCAGCTGGCAGCAATCCGTCAATAGCAGCAGCCTCCTGAGCCGAAACCTCAGACAAGCCAGGATTTAGGGCTAGGGTTTACCTTAACAGCCTTAACACCGAAGAACCTACATTTTTAAGGATGTATACGAATAGAATAAACCTCAGACAAGCCGGGTTTAGGGCTTGGGGGGCGTAGAGTTTTGGGTTTCGGGGTCTTCGGGTTTAGGGTTTCGGGCCTCGGGGTTTCGGGGTCTTAGGGTTTAGGGTTTCGGGGTCTTAGGGTTTAGGGTTTAAGGTTACTTAGGGTTGTGGGTTTGGGTCTTAGGGTTTAGGGTTTCGGGGTCTTCGGGTTTGAGGTTTAGGGTTTCGGGGTCTTAGGGTTTAGGGTTCAAAGGTTTCGGGGTCTTCGGGTTTAGGGTTTCGGGGTCTTGGGGTTTAGGGTTTCGGGGTCTTCGGGTTGAGGGTTTAGGTTTTCGGGGTCTTAGGGTTTAGGGTTTCGGGGTCTTCTGGTTTAGGGTTTAGGGTTTCGGGGTCCTAGGGTTTAGCGCTTCGGGGTATTAGCGTTTAGGGTTTCGGGGTCTTCGGGTTTAAGGTTTCGGGGTCTTGTTTAGGGTTCCGGGGTCTTAGGGTTTAGGGTTTTGGAGACACCTGATGAGCTTGACATACTGTAAGGCATTGTGAGGCTACTATAGGGTTTAGGCTTTAGGTGGTGAGGATGATATTAAGTAGGGGCTTGTGCAGGTGTCGAGGCAGCGACATTTGAGGATGTACCTTTGCGTATTTGTTTATGGCTTGTTGGCTCAGGAAGTTGCAGGCTGTGAGTTTCCAGGCCTTCAGGCATTAAGAACATTATCAGGCATCTTTCTTCTCAGGTTTACAGCCATGTTAGGTTTTAGGGTTTAAGGGCCCGAGGTCACAGAGTGTAGGAGTTCCATTTCTGGGGCTAAGCGACCTCGCAGGTTGGGCTCGGAATTTGGAACGCTTCTGGTGATGTAGTCTACATACAAGTCTGCATGTGCTGCGGGAGTGTTTGTGCAATGAGTTTCGAGACGTAGATTGTCACCGTGAATGAGAGAAGAGAAGACATAGAACTCGTCACCGTTGTGACAGATCTTTGTTCAACA